TGGGTCTGCTCCTGTGCAGCCAACGCTCTGTCTCTGCCTCCAGTCCCCTGCAGCCATTATTCTGTCTCCATCTGTCTTACAACAACAAGCCTCTCTTTCTGTGTCCTCCAAAGTTTGGCCTCCTTCCATTGCTACTGTTCGCATCCCACCATCTCTTTTAACCCTCCCCGACCTCCCCCTCCCATTTGCCCAGGAATTGATGGCGTTCAAATGGGGAGAACACAAGAAGTTAATACGACGGTGATGGGCTAGGACACAAGGTTCTGTTTATGCTAGACGTGACCCTGCCCAGGGATTACCGGGACGAGCTGGAGCAGCTGGGCTCCATCATTAGCATCTGTCAGTCACTGAGGACTTATCTGCCCCCGATGGACCAGAGTGACAACACTGGCAAGCCTCGCTGAGGACCTGTAGTGCTTCCTCTGCCCCCTGAAGAAATCTCTAATCTCCAGCAAAACTTTCTCCTGGGTTTTCCTCCTTGCAACTACTGACAGCCTCCCTGCACGAAACAATGGTACCACAAGAAGGACTTCTCTACAGATCTGCCAACGGAATAGGTCAAAGCTGTGAATTAAGAGAAAGGGTAGCAGCGAGCTTCATAGCTGAGCAGCTGTGAAACATGTATGAACACCTACAGACAGGGTTCCCAGTGGCAGAATTAAGAGGTGTCTGGGCACTTAGGAAGTGGTTATGGTGCGTCAATGGGGTGTGCGTGCCAAGGGCATGCAGTCAACTCCATATTGAGATGAAAGGGTGGAATTAAAGGGATTGGTGTGTGGAGTGCTGCTGAGTGTGAGGAGAGCAGGGTTTAAAGGGAAAGACAGTGCGAATACGGAGCAGGGAGCCAAATTCCAAAGGCTGCCCTTGCATCGGGTCCAGCTATTTTCATATTAAATAGATCCAGCTGCTTTTTCCCCCCCACCCTTTTTTTACTTTGAATGTGCACAGGATTTCTTTGCACCATAGTCTATGACGCCACCATAGGTGGGCAGTGTGTTTGGATGATCTCCTAAGGCAGGACTGCCCAGAAGGTAGATCCCCAGATGTTGTAGAACTACAACTCCCATGATTCTTTGCATGCCTGTAGAAAGTCTTTAGAATAACAAAGCATTGTGGATGCTGTAGTTTTAAAACATCTGGGATCTACATATTGTTCACCCCTGTCCTAAGGGGAAGCTGCAATTTCGTACAGAGAGTGCATAATTACCTCACCCCCCAGCGGCGGAGGAAAGGTTTTACACACAAAACCCACAGCCACCCCCTATCCACTTCTAACAGAAGCGAGCGTGGGAATGCAATAAAATGCTGAGAGCCATCTAATAAAAATGTTTTACAAGCACAGGTTAGATCCAGGCCAGACCCCGATGTGTAGCCATTCATGATTACAGCATGTTCTCATAAGCCCTATATCCCCTTACATCACGCAACACATGAATATGGAGCAATCAGTGACATACACCCCTTCGCCGTGTGCGGTTTTATGTAGAATATTATAGAATGCATAGCGCACTGGGCAGCAACATTGTAACTAAGTCCCTTAGACTGCTGATACTGTCATTTAAAAGGTATTGGGACCATTTGTACATGTTATGTGAGTTTTAGGGCTTTAGTTAAGAATATAAATCATGCTATTTATTAAAGTGTGAAATGTCAAGAATTGAAAGTGAATATCAAATTTTAGACCAATATAACCAAATTGGAAAAATATAATCTCTGGTAGGCTTTTAGTTCTGCTATCTTTAGCTAACAATTCACTTTTATTCACACGTTAGTAAATACTCCTATTACTAGCCCTCCAAGCACCCGCACAAGATGTGGGCAAGGTACAGATTGTAATTTAAAGTTATTAAGTACCTGTGTATTGTCAGAAATGTGCTAATGTATTGCAAATTTCACGGCAAAATATCCATACTGGAAAATGTTCTTCAACTCACCAAAACAACTTTAGCTAAATGAAGCAGTGTTGGTGTATAGAACATGCCCCTGTAGTCTCACTGCTCAATTCTCTGGCATTTAGGAGTAAAATCAGTTTGGTTATGCAGCCCTAGTCAAACCTCCTCTGGCTGTCACTCATACAGACGCCATTAAAAAAAAATGTTTTTGTTGTTGTTTTCTTTTATAGCACAGTGTGTTTACTTTAGAAATTCTATCTCTTGCTCTGTTAATTGACACACTCTAACAGGCAGTTGATTCTTTTGCAGAAAGCGGGTAGGGAGGTTGGGTGAGCCTCAGGCATAGGGGGTGGGGAGAAGGTGGCTAGGGCTGCATAAACAAATGTATTTAAAGGGACACTATAGTCACCATAACAACTACAGCTTATTGAATTTGTTCTGGTGAGTAGAATCATTACCTTCAGACTTTTTGCCGTAAACACTGACTTTTCAGAGAAAATGCAGTGTTTACGTACAGCCTAGTGATAACTTCACTGGCCACTCCTTAGATGGCTGTTAGAGATCCTTCCTGGGTCATGGCTGCCTAAAATGCATCCAAACAGTCAGTGTCTCCTCCCTCTGCGTGCAGACACTGAACTTTCCTCATAGAGATTCATTGATTCAATTCATCTCTATGAGGAGATGCTGATTGGCCAGGACTGTGTTTGAATCATGCTGGCTCTGCCCCTGATCTGCCTCTTTGTCAGACTCAGCCAATCCTATGGGGAAGCACTGTGATTGGATCAGGCTACCACTTCTGATGATGTCAGCAGACTGCTTGTTTTTTTTTTAGGCAAACAGCATGCAGAGTTACAGCTTCTGGCTTGAATACAGTATGATTTTGCTATATTTATGGAGGCATGAGGGGCCCAGGTGGGCTTGATGGTGGTTTTAACACTATAGGGTCAGGAATACATGTCTGTGTTCCTGACCCTATAGTGATCCTTTAAGTCATAAATGGCTGAGAATTGAGCGGTTAGGCTGCAGGGGCATGATCTATACACCAAAACCACTTAATTAAGCTAAAGTTGTTTTGGTGCTGCTTAGAGTACCTCTTTAAATTTCAGTTCCTAATGATTTCTAAACAATACACATTTTAGTTATTACCTCTCCTTGTAACTACTTATTTATTTACTTTTAAATAATAACCATAAAATAAGGGGGGGAAAATCCAGATTAATTTACCCTGTTCATCCAACTTTACTTGTGGTTGAGGGGTGTATAATTATCTCCTGTCCTAGAATGTCCCTTTAAATCATACATTTTATAAACTGAGACTCCTCACGTTCCCTATATGAGTCTGAGAAGCAGCTGAACTGGTGATTATTTTTACCGACGATCACACGCAGTCCACGTATAAAACAAAAACACACAAGTGAGGACGCAGTTACCTCTTTATCGGGTCATGATATATTTATCGCAAAGATAAAAATATCAGTAAAGTTTTTAATTGAGTGATGACGCAGGCTATTTAAAATGGCATGATCCAAAACAAGATTTGGTCAAACTGCAATCGCAGACGGGAGTTAGATTTCTATCCAGATACTAAGTGTGTTCCGAGAGAGATCACATAACAGGCATTGCACAAGGAGGCAGGTTATACGATGCCAAAACCATCCGATTGACTAGCTCGCTGGCTCCCCCTAGAGTCTCGCTGTATGAAGCGCTTTGTGCTCTTATGGTCTATATATACACTGATCAACCAGAACATTAAACCACTTGCCTAATATTGTGTAAGTCCCTCTCGTGCTGCCAAAACAGTTCTGATACACCAAGACTAGGGTCCACAAGACCTCTGAAAGTGTCCTGTGGTATCTGGCACCAAGACATTAGCAGTTGCGAAGTGGGGCGACCATGGTCGGATTTGTTGTTCCAGCACATCCCACAGATACTCAATTGGATTGAAATTTGCAGGGCTGCCATCAGAAATGTTGGGGCTCATTACACAGCTATAGGCCTGGGCCGCCATTCCACTACCATCTCGCAGGCATTGAGAGCTGTGGTCTGTGCCGTCCTTGTCCCTCCTGCCATGACAGATTAAATGTGGGTAAAGGGGTTGTAGCATGTGTATAGCGGTGTGTACAGGGGCTGTAGTGTGTACATGTGTCATATATTAATATTCATGTGTATATTATACAACCAGTACTTCATATACACAATTATAATATATACACGTGTAAATATTAATACAATACACTTATATTAATATACATGTGTATATATGCATAACCCTTTCAGAAATCCATTAACCCATTAAGGACACAACTTCTGAAATAACAGGGAATCATGCTATAGACACCTGAACAACTTCAGCTTAAAGTGACTCTGTAGTCACTATAACCATTTCTTCTCTTTGAATTTGTTACAGTGCCTGGAGTGCCCTGGCACTGTCCCTCCATTCAGTGTTGCACTATGTTTGTGCAGTATGCCACAAAATAAGAGTCCCTGGCCACCCACAGTCCAGCCCCTTCTGTATGTGTAGCTAAGGCAGAGATTAAACACTTCCTTGTTGGAGCTCTGACAGGCTAAAAGCAGTCAGCTGACACTCTCAGCCAATCACAGCTGCCCAGGCTAATACTTCCCTATTAGCCAAAGCAGGACAGAGGGGATGGACTGCCGGGACTCTTGGTTAGCATTATAACATTAAAAACTGTTTAATGCTGAAAGAAATTATGGTACCAGGGGACTCCAGACACTAGAACCAGTTTAATGAGATGAAGCAGATACAGTACCTACAGTTACGGTGTCCTATTAAGCTGTAGTGGTTCTGGTGACTATAGTGTCCCTTTAATGGTGTTGTTCAGGTGAGTACAATAGCTCCCTGCAGCCTTTTCATGTAAACTCTGTATTTTCTGAGAAAATACAGTGTTTACCTTGGAAGCTATGAACACCTCCAGTGGCAGTCACTCAGTCGCCACCTGAGGGACTTCCGAGTAAAGTGCTGCCTAATTCGCATTCATCACGTTTGACGTCTTCACGCTTGGCTGAAGACTTCAAACATGCTTGTAGTAACCCGGAGCCTGTCAGCTCAGAGCCCACAGTGTGGGAGATAAACATCTTCTGCACACAGCATGGGCTCGGGCTGACAGGCTGGAGGCAGGAGACCGAGCAGGAGGATCTACTGACTTCAAATAGTAAGTAAACTTATTTTAAAAATTGAGAGTGAGTTAGTGTGAGAGAGTGAGTGTAAGTGTGAGAGAGAGTGTGAGCGAGTGTGAGAGAGTAAGAAGATAGAAATAGATAGATAGAAATGGATAGATAGATAGATACAGTGGTATATTTTGGATCTGTGCTGCCCTAGGCATGATGGAACTTGGGCACCCCCTAATTTACATTTGCCCCACCCCTTCCTGTCAGTGCCACACCTCTTCCTGTTACTGACAGACACACACTCTCAGATACACTGACATACACACACACACACTGATTTGACACAATCTTACAGACACCCACAATCACTCAGACACACAGGCTCCCTCACAGACACACACACTCACAGACAGACACTGACAGACATACTCACTCACAGACACACACACTGCCAGCCAGACACAGACACACATGCTGTCAGCCAGCCACACCCCCCCCCTCCCAATATTCACAGATTAATTTTTTATTTTAATCCACCCAGCCTCCCTACATTTAGGCAGGAAGGGAAGCAGGCAGTTGGGCGGATAGCTGAATTCCAAGGCGGGCGGCGAGGGAGCGTTGATTTGTGAGCTCTCTCTGCTCAGCTCCTTCGCATGCCACAGAGTGATGCCTGGAGCTGGAATATGACGCCTTGGAACTCATCTAGCCATCTGCCACCGGGCTAACAAGGTATTTGGGGGCGGCGTTTTTTATCACCCCCCGGAAAGTGCCTCGCGGCAAATAAGTCACTGGAAAGATAGAAATAGATATATAGATAGATAGACAGAAATAGATAGAAAGAAAAGGGTGTGTGTGTATGTTTAGCAATATATATTTTCAATGTGTGTGTTTGTATAAAATTTATATTAGGAGGGGGCGGGCATGGACAGCAAGCTGAGCTGTCAGTCAGTTCAGCTCACGAACGAGCATACCGCGCACATGCACAGTAGAGCGCTCAGTGTTCATTCATAGGGCGGCATTCGATGCTACTCTATGAAGAACCCGATTGGTGCAGCGCGAAGCCGCACATGCACACTAGATTGCTATAACGCTTCTCTAAGAGAAGCTTCTGATTGAGCCCTGCTATTTTGTCACTTTGATGAAAAAGGGGACGCGGCCTGCCGATTATCTCGGCTCTGGAGGTAAGTTTTAGCTATAATAACGGCTCGAAAATATTTTTTATTAAGGGGAAATTAATATAAAAGCAAGAAAGAGGGCTTTATATGCAGACTATAGTGGTCCTTTAAGTAAAACTATTAAATTATTTCCATTAAACTCCATCTCCCTCTACCCCCTCTCAAGCTCCACCTCCCTTTAACCCCCAGCTCAATCTCCCTCTCACCCCAGCTCCCTTTTTCCTTTACACCTCCCTCGCTCCCCCAAGCTCCACCTCACTCTCTAGCTCTCCAGTTCTACCTCCCTCTCACCATAGCTCCCTCTCTCCTTTCCAACTCCCTCTCATCGCAGTTCCATATCCCTCTCTCCAGATCCTCCTCCACCCCAACTCCATATCCCTCTCACACCAACTCCATATCCAGCGTGTTTGGGCAGCTCTCTCCTAAACACAGCAGTTCCCACGCTGAGTAATGTTGGAGGAGCTACTGCGGGAGGGGTTTAGATCATCATTTCCTGCTCCCTCCCTCAGTAGCTTCCTGTCTAACACCCTGAGGAGCTGGTCTATGTTGGCAGAGAAGCTGCTGGCTGCTCCTCACACCTTCTAAGAGTAGGAGGCCCTCTGCAACCCTGCCCAGGCACCATACACCTGTATGGACTGTACCCCTCTGATGGCGGCACTGGAGATCTGGGGAAGTTGGAGGCCTAGGCAACACCTTGAACTATTTGTCATATTCCTCAAACCATTCCTGAACAATTTTTGCAGTGTGGCAGGTTGCATTATCCTGCTGAAAGAGGCCAATGCCATAAAGGAACACCATTACCATGAAGGGGTGTATATGGTCTGCAACAATTTACATAGGTGGTACTTGTTATAGTAACATCCACAGGAATGTCAGGACCCAAGGGTTCCCAGCAGAACATTGGCCAGAGCATAGCACTGCCTCCGCAGGCCTGCTTCTTCCCGTCTCCATTGAAGGAGCTTTTGGTAGTGGTCAAGAGTCATTATAGGCACTCTGACTGGTCTGCAGCAAACTACAATGCACTGCGTTTTCGGACAGCTTTCTATCATGGCGAGCAGGGTTTTAGCAATTTGAGCTACTGTATCTGTGTGATCGGACCAGATAAGCTAGCCTTCAGTACCCACATGCATCAATGGGCCTTGAGCGCCCACAACCATGACACTGGTTCACAATTTGTCCTTACTTGCACCACTCTTGGTAGGTACTAACCATTGCATACCGGGAATACCCTATGAGACTTGCAGTTTTGGAAATGCTATGACACAGAAATATAGCCATCAGTATTTGTCCCTTGTCAGTCACTCAGATCTTTTTTTTCTCTTGGTGACCCCTTAGAAGTTGCCATTGTAACGTATCAATCATCCTGGTGACACCATATATGTAATGTTGGGGGGGATGCTCTTGTGATCTCCTGGCATGCAAATAATATTTGAAAGAGAAAGCCAGGGGAGCGAATATAGTCATTAGGACAAGGGCATTTTCAATTTCCAACCAAGGTTTAGAAAAACACAGAGTGGCCCACCTCATGACTTTCTGGAAGTGTATAGATTGGCAGTATAAAGGAAAATCAGCCCTCCATGTGGTTTTGCTTTAATTAGTATAGCATAGCCTGCCCCCCCCTCCTTTATTTTTTTTTTTTTGCCAAAGGTAGGTGAGGAATAAAGACTTCACCAGCTTGCTGAAGGACTGGTGTGTGTACTGGGACAGTTTGTAGGAGATATATAGATTTGAAAGGGTTTAGTTTTTTAGGAACCCTATTCTAGAAAGATTGGAAAGATGGCAATAGACCCAGAACACTGTCATCAGCTGGGTCAGGGAGATGGATGGTTGGTAAAGTGTAAACAGCATGATTGTAGCCATATATGCTGCAGACTCTGAACTTCAATACTCTCACTATGCGAATTAGATCTGACCACATTCAGAAAGGGCTCTAGGGTCAAATAACCTAAATAGGAAAGAGGGGGCAGCCCTGCCTGGTTCCATTTTTTTGATGAAAAGATTAGACATAAAATAAGTTTTCCATAACCCTTGCAGAAGGAATGTAATAAAGTGCTGACATCTACAAGAGCATATTTGGACCCAAACACCTAGTACATAAAGTAGTAGAGAGATATGACCAACCAAACCTGTCAAATGCCTCCTCTGCATTAGTAGATTGGAAAATAAAATGACATCTATCTTTTCTTGGCAGCATTTAGAAGACTCAAAAAGGTCAAGTGAAGAAGAGGGGCTAAAATGTCAAAGTAGTGTTTATAATACTTTAACGCCAGTGGCATTATTATTGTTTTAAACACAAACACCATAACTACAGACCACTTTGCTAGCAGTTTGACAACTTACAGGAAATTGAACTGGTGGCTCACACATTTGGAGGAAGAAGAATTAGCTCTTAATTCAAGCACTGCCATGCAGGATTGGCTCATTGGTCAGCATCAAGTAAGCTCTCCCCTTATTCACAGAGCCAAGCCTTGCAGCACTGGGCTTAACTTAAAGCAGGATCTTCTAGAGCACAGGAAGAAACGCAGGCAGCAGACGGACCCCAGATAACGGCTTACCCTGGACTTCTGACACTTTAATCACTACAGTCCTACAGTACCATCTGCACTTCTTGCACACATTTATCAATGAGGGGGTGCTTGTACAAGATATCTACATATTCTGTCTATTAGTAGGTATAGGGCTTTGCCTACTTCGGAGGTAAAGGATATTTGGAGTTTCTTCTTTGCAGTTCCGTTATTATAATTCTAAGGCAGATATAGAAGTTACTATTTCAAAGCAGTTGTCAATGAAAGCAAGTCTGAGTAAGGATATTTGCACAAGATTGACATTAACCAACCGACAACTCTAAGTGCGGGCTGACTGATACCCTAGTGATGCTGGTTACACCTCTAGCAGGAGATGTTAAAGGATCACTATAGTGTCAGGAAAAAAAAAAAAAAGTTTTATCCTCACACTATATAACCCTTATGTCACCCCCCACCCTCAGGGACCCCCTCCTTCTGGGCTGAAGTGGTTAAGATCCCATAAGCCACTTACCTTAATCCAGCACCAGGCTCCCTCTGGTGACCTTTCCTCTGAGTGGAGCAGAATGCAAATGCGTGGCAAGAGCCGCACGCACAAACTGTCCAGAGGAAAGCATTTCTTAAGGCTTTCCTATAGACGTTCTGCACGCTGGATGTGATTTTCGCATCCAGCGAGGTAGAAGCACCTGTCATGAAGAAAGCCAGTAGAGGTTGGATTAACCCTGCAATGTAAACATAGCAGTTTCTCTGAAACTGCTCTGTTTACATCTGAAGGGTTAAAACCTGGGGGACCTGGCACCCAAACCACTTAATTGAGCTGAAGTGGTCTGGGTGACTATAGTGTCCCTTTAAACTCCATATGTGCAGTGTTTCATAGTAAAAATGCTGCACAAACAGACAGACTCCAGGCACCATGACCACGTCATATCCCTGAAGTGGTCATGATTCTTGGATTATCCCTTTAAAAGGACATTGGCATCCCTCTACACTTGGCAACCATCAACTCTGTTTTGGATAAAACCACAGATGAGAAATTGCATGAGTTCAATAACTGCGAGAGTTTAAGGTGCAGGAGTCAAACTATGCAAGGAAGCAGCTTATCAGCGGCCAAGTTTGCAGTAAAGCTGTGTGCAATTCGTTGGTGCTGCATGTTCACCAGGAGCTCTGGATACTTGTCCAGCACAGAGAAATTGCTAGACACAGCAAGAGTACAGTCACGGAAAGCATAGATTGCTGCCCTTGCGATGGAAATCTAGATGTGTAACAATATCTCAATGATTTGCAGAAGGAAGTGACAAGCTAATCTGCACATGCAGTACAAAAGCTAGTATCTTAAACTTTATTGTACAGGGTAATAAAACTTTTTTTCACATACAGGCAGGTCTAAAAACAGACAGCCCTGGGCAGTGTGTTAATAGTATTTACAGAACCCCAACTCCCCTCCCGCCCCCTCCCCTCATACAAATGGCTCTGTACTATTTTGGCCATCATGAATACTATTTACAGAAGACATTTTGTCCTAAATTGTAACCCTACATGTAAAATAACGAGGCAGGTATCACAAGAGATCCAGTCAAATACTAAAATCCAGAATAAAAAAAAAAAAAGTTCTATCTTGAAGAGGTCTTTATATCTTGAACCGGTCAGAAAAATTGGGCGATTTTGCAAGGGTCAAAGGGACATCACTTCTTTTCACGTCTACAGGTTTATATTTCCGGACAGGCTGAGCTTTATGGACCTTTAAAAACAAAAAATAAAATATTACTCAGTAAAGTCCTGACTACACAAACCCACAGAGCAGCATGAGGCACACTGTCAATACAGGAGCCACACTTTCCCCCATGCTAAAGACATCCTTACCACAAAGCCACATACCTGCGATCCCACATACAGACCAAATTCTCCCAGCAGCCAGATTCTCTTCTTGAAACATCAGCAGAAATGGGCTGAGTGGAGGACTTGGCATGGTGTAAGTGGTGCCACCATTGGTAGTAGAGAGCATGATGTGTGTGCTCATGACATATAGAATTAGAATGCTCGAATCACTTTGCTGGAGGTGGTGTTGCATCTACGGCAGCAAGGGACTACATCTCTGTATGTGCAGACTCCACAGACCATTCCCACTTCAAACCACTGAAGTGGTCATGGTGCTTAGAAAGTAAAACCCCAAGGCTGGACAAAAGGCATGGAACACAGGGGGTAGGGAATCATAGGGTAACTAACATTAGTCCTGCTTATCAAGTGTTCGTCCACTTATATGTGCCAATTAATTAAAAGTACTTTACATACCCCAGACAGCAGGGAGGGGGTGAGGGAAGTTAAAGGATATTAAGTGGCTCTTTTAGAGGTCTCCCCCTTCAAAGAAGTGGTTACAGGAAGAGCACACCTCCATACATGTGAAAATCTGGACATTGATTCTTCTGTATTGTAAATTTTAAAAGCAAGGAGCATCTCCAAAAACAGAGATTCACTCCTTTGCCAGCTGAAACGAAGAACACTACCTTGCAACCTATTCTAACGTAGCATGCTGTACAATTGCTTTTTACAAACTACATGCACAGAGAATAGCACAAAAAAAAAAAAAAACTTTATATGTAAAATTTTGATTTTCAAACTCCTCAGGTTTAGTTTAAAAGTGATTGCTTAAAATAAAGTTGCGTCTACATGGATAAGCCACATTATAATTACGTGCCTAATATCATGTGGGTTCCCCTGAATGTGTCCTGTGGTATCTGGCACCAAGACATTAGTAACAGATGTGAATTGGGCCCTCCAGGGATCGGATTGGTTGTTCGGGCACATCCCACAGATGCTCAACTGGATTGAGAACTGGGGAATTTGGAGACCTAGGTAACTCCTTGATCTCTCATGTTCCTCCAACCATTCCTGAATATTTTTTTTGCAGTGTGGCAGGGTGCATTATCCTACTGAAAGAGGCCACTGCCATCATGGAACACCATTGCCATGAAGGGGTGTACCTGGTCTTTGACACGTACCACCTATCAAGAGACCGTTAAAGTAACATCCACATGAATGCCAGGGCTCAAGGGTTCCGAGCAGAACACTGCCTAGAGCAGGCCTGCCTTCTTCCCATAGTGGATCCTGCTGCCATCTCTTCCATATACTACCCCTGGACAGATGCCATTGTAACAACGTAATTAACGTTATTCCCTGCACCAGTCATGGGTTTTAATGTTGTGGCTGATAAAATATATTAAACAAAAATTTAATCCCAGGTCCAGTTAAGCCAAATGTCAAACACATGTATTAATATCCAGAAAAAGATGTTCCATACATTTGAAAGCATCGATCAATACATTCAGCCTGCACAAAGTCAAGCTTATGTCAGCAAGTAGACTGGTACAACTGTGATACACGACTCTAGACAATTTGCCATTTTAAACACAGGACAATAAATCGGCTACGTACCAGCTCATGTCTCAGTCGATTGACCTCTTCTTTCTGTCGCTCCTCCTCATCTCGGCGTCTCTCCTCTTCAAGCAGGGCTTTCTGGGTCTCCATTTCAGCAAGACGCTTTTCAAACTCCTGACGTTCCTTGGCACGTTTCTCTGTCGCTAGTTCAAAACTGTCATGAACTATGGAACCAGAAAGGCTCTCTAAGTTTAGAAACAAAGGAAAGAGTTTGTGCAACAGGGAGCCAGGGTAGGCGTATAGGCAAAGAGCAGTGTTCTTGGCTGTTCCCGACAGGCCACAATAGATTTGAGTTTTAGTAATAGGGTTACGTATAACCTTGCTATTAGCAAGGAGTCTCAGGGCTGGCACTTGTCAAATGTTTTTCAGGCAAACTGAACAAAAAAAAAATAAAAATAAAAATAACCCTTTTAGGGCTTGAGTCATTAAGTTAAAACTGTGGCATATCAGGCATCAAGGACCACTGTCCTTTGGTGAAACACCGAGGTTACATTACAAAGTGTGTGGACATTCCCAAGTACAGTCACGCAAAAACTCCCTTTAGAATAAATAGACAAAATAAAATCTTAAGCAGACTAATTCCACACAAAAAACAACCCCATAATAAAGACAGTGCCCCCCCCCCCAGTGAGGAAAACAAAAACCCAATAAACACAAACTGCATGGAGTTCTTCTGTTAGAATCAAGCAGGAACTTCTCTCTTTTTTTTTTTTTTAAAAGAGTACCACAAAGCCCAACTGTGCAAGACCCTTTAAACTGCTCCCACCTGTCAGTGACTTGTTCTCCTTCTTGGGCATGAAGGGTTCCTGGTGCGTGACTGTATTGGGACGAGCTTTGAATGTAGTCATTTCCTTCTGCTGCTTTATTTCTTCCTCGACCTATAAAATAAACATACAAAGTAAGAGTTAGGAGAGGGCAGAACCTGGAGGGAGTTAATAGTAATAAGATGATTATTCAGCTGACCCAAATTATTTTGTGCAAGTAGTCAAAAACTTTCAGAAGCTGGGGGTAGGTTTAAAAAGCCTCCGGTACATTGCCAAAGTAAAAATTAGACTAACACAGATTACTTTCAAATCTAGAGTTTATGCCACCAATTTGGGCATGGCAACACATTTCAATTCCACCAAGAACAAAACAAACGACAACACACAAACTTTGTTAAAAATTCATCATGTGGCAAGATGGCAGAGCTTCAAGCAGTTTCACCCATTACCAATTTTGCCATTTCCCCATCACCTACAATGGTTGACGGGCATAGGGATCTTCTCACTCAACGCAGAATATACTGGTAGATGCCTTAGGCAGCTCCATCAAAATATGCAGAGTGCCGGAGCCTGGCAGCCATCCTGTACAGACGCCATCTAAACTTGCTCTCTCGAAACCAGGAATAATCCATCTAATATCCCCTAACCAAGCTCCATCGAGCCACGAAAAGCATATACATACATACATACATACGGCATCAATTGATGCCTTTCCCCCCCCAGGCACCCAAGCAACACAGGCGCAAACCCGCGGCCTACTGCGCAACACCAATCCAGGGCCCCCCCCCCGACAAATATCCGAGCCTGACCGTCGTGAGGAGCAGACTATGAAAATTACTTAGCCCCCAAAAAATAACCCCAGACGGGATCTACCAAGTGACCAGCGCATACCGCCCAGCACACCCAGGGATGTTATCCTGCGCCTGGCGACAATATCAGACAAGATACACATAATGACTGCCATAAAAGGCAAAACACCACTGGCCTTTGATGGCGATCAGCTCTTCTTCCAGGATGTCACAAGAGCCACATTGCTGAGGCGGAAAACATTTGAACCTGTGACAACGGGACCGCACACCGCTGGCATAGCTTACATGTGGGGGAACATAGGTGCACTACTCGTCCATCACAACGGGGCCGCACACCATCTCACATCCCCAACCGGAGCGCCCACCTTCATGAGAGCACTGGGACTACAACCCCCACAACACACCACCTGGGACCCGGAAGACAGCTCCACCCACGGACAGTCAACGAATGAGCCACCGGCACCTATTACCTGACCCCGCATAGGGACTGAAACCAGGGGCAATACTCACGATATAGCGGTGACTGCCAAAATGAGGACCCGGTCCTCGTGATAGAAGGGGTAATCCCCCTGACACACTCCCATGACTATTTTCCCATATGAATGGCATCCCCGGTTTCATGTTGAACCGTATGCGAGCCTTGATGCTCCCACGCTTACATTTTTTCCTTGCTTAATTTTTGGCATGTTTGTTGGTTTATTCTGTTACACTCTTTTGTACATACAATATTGAGGTACCCACACCTACGTGAGAACTAGACAGCCACACACTATAGATAGTTAACAGGCACTTAAGTAGATTAAAGCATCTCCGCCCACCCCCAGGGATAGATGGGACAAACAAGATGCCGCACAGGGTACATCGCACACAGGAGCACCTTACACACTTGCCAAACTCACCTAGCGGAAATCCACTAAGTTCCACTAGTGAGTACACACAGGCATCCAGAACCACACACCTGTACTAGCCTGAATCACAAATTTACCACCCGCACACATGGAGTATCCCAGGGGAGTAGAACACACCAGCCACAACACTACCAACCCCGGGCATGTCACTAAACCTATATGCTAAATAAAAATGTGCTTAAAGTCTGAAATATGTATGTTAAAGCGAACACATGATCTGCTTGAACCCAAACTACAACAATGTCTCAAAATGTTTTCTGTCAACATGTTATACCAAGCACAAATAAAAGAATTAAAAAATTTTTTTTTATAAATATATACATATATATATATATATATATATATATATATATATATATATATATATATATATATATATATATATATATATATATATACATACATACATATATACATACATACACACACATATACATACACATACACATACACACACACACATATATATACATATACACACATACACACACATACATATACACACACACGATGACATCACAGTTTGAAGTTGCAGCAGAGGAGTTCTACTTAGCCCAAGTCCCCCCCATCTCCGATCTTCATTTCCTGGTGCTTCAGCCACCAGGAGTCAACGTCAGTGCTGTTCTCTTACACATGTTCAAGAGTACAACACTGATGTTTATAAAGGATCCTGCAAGACCACGGAAGCCTCCATAGTAATCTTATAATTAGAGAGACAATTGTTTATTCCCACAGCCATCGCTAGCGTCAGCTGTGGTAAGGGACAAAACCAGACAGGAGGTCTGCCTTTTCTCAAGTTAGACATTGACCATAAGAACGTGGTTTGGTTTTAGATTTTTTTTGAAATTTCACTTAAATTCTAACGCTGCCTTTGTGTGCATTTCAGAAAACATTAGGATACCCTCAAGCAGTTTCAGATATTTTAATATGCATGTGCAAGTTTTGGGAATTTGAGGGGGCTACACTTAAGTGAGACACAAGACAACATTAAACAGAGTTAAAGGATAGCACTACTATAAACAGTAGAAGATCTCTATAAATAAGAATTTCAGAATGTGAACAGCAAACTATTATCCATTAATTTGTGGTTAGTCAGTGATTGAGGCCCTTTGTCCCTCTTGGTATATAGACTGTTCTCACCTGCTGTTTCCAGCGCTGTAATTTGGAGGCCCCTCTCTGATCAATCTGCAGCTGGAACGGCTCCTGCTGTGTTGGCATCTTCACCTTTTTATCTGGAAGGCTGACGTGGTCAAACTGAGGCAGGGGCTGGGCTTTGAATTTGGGCACCTGAGAGGAAAGCCACATGTTAAGTCATTGTCTAAAGATGTGTGCACTTTAAATGCAGGAATGTCTCGCAGCGCTCACCTCTGCCTTTCGAAGTTCTTCCAGTTTCTGCGCTTTCTGATGCTGTCGTTCTTTGTCACGGTCACAGAAGGAAAAAGGACAGATTTCTACTTGCTTTTGCTCAGCCAACTTTGGTTTAAATGGAACTCCATAATGCGGCATTGGATTTGCTTTGATGATAGTCACTTCTTCCTCCTCCTGTGAAGGACAAAATTCATGTTTGATAAGCATTGGGAGCATCAGTATACTGGGTTCCAGAGTAACTTCACCTTTTACACAAACACAACCTACAAAGCTTATTCAATAGTACAGTGCTCCTTAAGGCACATCCAAAAGTCAAGAGAGGGGGAGATTATATATACATACATACATACACACTCCCTTAATCCCCCTGCAAACTGCAGTCCCCCCCCCCCCATGAATACATTGTGTATAGTGGATGCAGTATTTGTGTAATGCTGGATATGTGCTGGGGGTAAGCCATTTAAATTAAGTTGGGCTTAACCCTCCTCCCTGCCTCTTACCTGTGGGCTAGGAGGGGAGAGAGAGTGTGTAGGAAGGTGACAGTGTGGGTGGCAGTGTGAATGGGCAGACTAACAGACAACATGCCCTCACCGATACACACTCACTGGCTGTTCGAGTCAGTGAATATGTGTGACAATGACTCAGAGACACATGCACACAAACACACACCGACAGTCACACACTTTCAATGACAAACTCGCATACAAATTCACTGACAGACATACACAAATTACTAATATTTTAATTTGTCCACCCGTCCTCCCTTCCTTTTAGGAGAAAAGGAGCGGAGCAGTACCTGGGGCCCAGAGGAGCTGCTGTGAGGTGGGCGGCTGTGTGCACATCAGAGGTGGCGAGGAAGCTGTATTTCTCCTGCTCTGCTCCCTTGCGGGATGTCTACCGATGCAGGGAGCCAGAATAGGACTTAATATTCTGGCTCCCGGATCAGTAGATGGCTCGCGAGGGAGCAGAGCAGGAGGATTACAGCTCCCTCTGATGTGCACACAGCCACCCGCCTTGGGGGTCCATAAACAGCTTCCTCTAAAAACAGGAGGAAGCACTGGGCACATCCATGCTGACATTTTGGGATAGATAGAGCCAAGGACGACCCTGGCCTTTAGGCACCCTGTGCCAAATTTCACACACAGGCAGTCATACACACAATTACAGTCACACAACCACCTCTATCCAATATGGGTTGGAGTAGAGTCAGTGCAGCTCCTGGAATCTGGATGTTGGGGAAGCAGGGACTCCTTCCTGCTTCATGTGCAGCAGTTACCCTGACTGAGATCTTCTGAGCAACTTTAGCCTTGTCCCCACCGCACGGTAAGCCCCGCCCCAATGTGTGTTTTTTTATTTTACTAATACCAGGTGGAGGATCCATTATTCTCCCCCAGGAATTATTAAAAACCAAACACATTGACCTTCATACAGTGCCTGCATCTGATGTAGGGTGGGCCCCGCCAGCGATGCCACTTAGTAAGATGTGCTTTGAGGAGAGGGCTGAAGAATACGGATACCTTAAAAAGGTGCATAGCTAATGCAATTGAAGTGGTTATAGTGCCAAGAAGCTGAGTGAGCCATTACCTGGGTGCTTTTTCAAATAGTTTGAGAGGTTTGACAAAATACAGACTCCCTCAGGAACCAGATTTCTGATTGATTGCTAGATTGCCAATCCAAATGCAAGCTCCAACAATAGTAATGCAAATGTTGTACACGTTTGAACGACTGTGCAAGGACAAGGGTCTCAGATAAACTGCATTGATTGGCTGAGAGTTAACAGATTAACATTGCATTAATAATACAGAAAAGGATCTTTCATTTTAGAACTCCAGCGAGTGAGGGGCAAGGTAGTCAGAGACCGACTGATTCTCCCAAAAGCTCAAAAGCTGCTTGACACAATTAGTGGATGCACCTTAAACACTGCTATGGGTTACAGTAATGAAAGTCTGCAAAAATTAGAAATGGAAGATACTTTGCTCAGTAACTATGTGCGGCTGAACAAGCTGATAATTTCCCTTGCAATTTAAGGCTCAAAATTTACGCCTAACCGGGTTGAAAGGGAAGAACTCCAGATACAAGATTTTAACATTGTGCCAAAAGGACCTGAAGCTTGCAAAATGCTCATCATGTGCTTACCTTCTCACTCCAGGACGGCACACGCACTCTGTTTTTAAGGGCAAAGGCAGGAGACTTGGGTACAGTTGCAGGGATAATCTTCTTTTCTGGAAGACCCTACAATGAATTTATCTTTATTAGAGGCTTCCATTACTGAAAACACAGAAACTGGAATCTACATAAAGGGAAAAACACTGCACTCACCACCACATCAACAAGCATCCTTGAAGGACAAGGTCTGGAGTGAAACGTGTACGTCTCCACTTCGGTTTCCTCCTTTTTCTCACGTTGTTGGATCCTCTTCTCAATTTCCAGATCAAACCCAATGGCCTTTGTCGGTTCCTTAACAGTCGGCTTCTTCAGAAGCATTGGACCTCCCTCTAGCATCCTTGAATCCACCTCTTGAGCCTTGAATTTGTACCTGGGTGCAAATGGTTGGCAGAAGACATTGCATTAGGACAGCCAGGTGCAAAGTTTTGAATATAGGTTAAGTACAGACAAACGCCAAACTTACTGCTGGAGTTTTTGTATCTCCTCTTCCTCTATTTCTACAGCACTCTTACAGGTCACAGGCCGGAGCCGCTGCTTCGTCTGGAGAAGAGGAGTCTTTGGATTGGTCAGCTTTATTTTTGTAGGTTTCACTGGAGAAGGTCCTTCACAAAAGAAGATCAGTTACAGACTGGGCCTACAGCTCAAGGCCAACAGACCCCCATTTTACCTGCACTTACCCTCCATCTCTTTCTGCCGGCTACGCAGGTGATAACGGGTAGGAGTTCGCTTGTAGAAAGTGTAGACCTGCTCAGCAGTGGAGACAAATTGCCCAGAATTAGTGGACTCCTCGTGCTTCCGCTTGTTACCTTGGGACAAGTTAAATGGCTTGGGCACTGTAGGGCCTCCTTTAGCAACATGAGCCTTCAAAAATAAATAAATAAAATTAATATGCACTGAAGTTAGAAGACCTTTTGGAAATATAGAATCAATAAATCTGGGTTTCATTAAACAATACAATCTTACAGGAGAAGATGGGTGCTTCCTGAGAACAGCTTCAAAGTTCATCTCCTTATACTGATCCCCTGACGGCTCTTCAGGGTGTCTCTTGATTCGCTCATCCGTACAGAAGTGGAAGTCGACAGGTTTGGTTGCCTGAAGCACGGTTTTCTTCACAGGTTGGCCTATGTTAGAGAGTCCGGAAGACACAGTTACCACCAGATAATGTCTATTCCCAAAACAAAGCCAGTATTCTCTATACCCTATTCCCCACCATAAAACTACAGGATTACAGAACCATTCCTATACACAGCACCACCTACCTGCTCCAGCTATGGCAGCCTTCATGGACTCTTCGTTCTTGCGCAATCTATCAAGTAACTCCTGTTGAAGCTGCTGAACTTTTTCAAGCTCCTGCTCCTCAGAGTTCTTTTGTTTTATCATGGTGTTCTTTCGCCTAGAAAGACAGTTCATGGTAACATAGGCCTTTGTGTAAATGTTCTATTTTAATGGACACAAAGGAAGCTTCCTGTTTAGCGTTGTCAAAACCATGTCTAGCAACATTTAACTGGCATCAAACACGGAGGAAACTGATATTTTTAAGAATCAAGTTTACATTGAAGCATTGATAGTATATCAGCTTACATGTAAACATTAAAATTAAGAAAAAATAAAGTTACAAAATGAGATAACAGAGTTAAAGATAAAGACTTACTTCAGTACTGTTGGCGTGATTGGCACAGCAAGTCGAACCTTTTGTTCAGCCCTAGCAATTCCTTTTCCGACAGATGAGTCGTTTAGTTTGCCTCTACTTGCAGACCTAGAAGAAGAGTTGAATCTTTAACTACCAGCAGAGACACTAGTTAAGTGAATGTGGAACAGATCGCGGTCAGATTGGAACCCACCCGATAAACTAAATGAAAAAATAAATTAGAATTACAAAGTTGTGCAGCTTTTTTGAAGAGTGTCCTTTTTTTAAAAGTTTACCAAAAGTGCAGATTTTAACAGGAATTGGCACTTTGACAGCTAGGGGGTTGTAACACAGTTAACTTGTAAGTCAACCAGTCCCGTTACTTCCTGGTTTCTTTAGCTCCGTGATAAACTCAAGATGCAGCAATTGTCCAGAGCACCTATCTTGCAAAGACTTCTCATTGAGCTGCATTGGACAGTCACAGTAAGTCTGGGCGGCGTTAGAAGTGGAGGTCTTGCAAAGGCTGCAGACAAGATATGCAGCTTTATGGAAGCCATTTAAGATGTAACCCCAATGAAATAATGCATGCTTTATTTTGGGTATATAAAGATTTAAAAAAAAATAAAAAATATTTGAGTGTTCATTTAACATAGCAAGTTACAGATACTTAAAATAAATGACACCCAGGCAAGTTTTACATGCAAATTTACCTTGCCGCAAAAAGAACAGACCAGGAGAATATGCATTCATTACTAGCAGAAGAAATAAAATGCACTGGAAACAGAACCTCTCGCTACTTACAATTTTGGTTTTTTCAGAGGTGGCCGCTCATCTGGTTGTGCAGTTACCACCTTATGCCTCTCAGCTCTAATTTTTGCCATTTGTTTCTGTCTTTGCTGGGCAGACAGGCGTTTAGAGGACCTTTGAAAAGAAAGGGGGTGGGGGGGTGGGAGATCAAGGCATGAAATCAGAACAAATCTCACTGAATATAGGATATGTGCTATTGACAGAAGAAATAGGAATGCCAATCTTGAGTCAACAATAAAAGGATTCTCTTAGTGACAAAAGTAAGCTAAAAAAAAAAAAAAAATTATATTTGTCGTTTTTATCAATGGGAAGAGATGCCGAGCTACAGAGCTGAATATTTTTCAGTTTAGCCATTTTGAATAAATATTGGCAATTCTCTAGTTAACGCCTAGTTGAATGAATAACATCTATTTCTGAGAAGAGACCGCCTCTGCACATAATCTAACAGATTACCTTTCACTTTTCTTCTGAAATTATAGAAAGGAAGCAAAGCATCAACTTGATGGTAAACTATGGACTAGATTATGTTACCAAAGGGAAAAAAAAAACTATCCCTGGTCAAAGAACAAAGACTTACAGGCTTTTCAAGATCACCCTTAACAAGACACTTTCCAAATGATCACATTGTTACCCTTTTATAATTACACATTTAATGGTTCCATTAAGATATCAATTACTAATAAAAGGGCTTTCTAGACCGTAACAGTGTAAGGGAGGTGGGAAATAAATACAAATCCAGCATGAAAAGTCTGTGGGTGTTTGTGTCCCCTCTCTCCTGCCACCAATCTAGTGGCACTCTAAAACTCCAAGCAGCATTCCTACTACAGCCTGCAATAGTTATTGTGCCAAGAGTGACATTTTTTGTATGGCTTGACCACACCCTTTTCTTCAGGAGAACCTGGTTAGAGGAGAGTGCCAGCCATTCAGCGCAGTACTGCATGGCCCTGCTTAGTTTGGTAAAGCTCACCAGATTCTCCTGTAGGAGATATCTAGAAGCAGGGGCTGCGGCCATAGGTGCCACACGGGACTCAGGCTAGTATAGCTGCTTGTGTGTGTGTGTTTTTTTTAAAAAATTTTTTAAGACACCAAGTCAGCATTCTGAACTTTTCCGTTACCTTCTATTAGTGGCTAAAGACCCCGGCGTGCTCTTTTTACCAGATGTTCTCACAGAGCCTCTGTTGCCAAATGGGTTCAGAGGTGTGCGTTTGGCCTCTTTAATGGGCACACTAGAATTTTCATCTGCAATAAAGAAGGGTTCAGTTTTCATAAGCCATCGGGGTTCACCCAGACACCATGAAAGCACATTAGATAGCACAAATGGCTTACCAACTTTCAACGATGGCCTTTTGGAACTAGGTTTTGCATTGGCAATAACAGGGGTCTTTTGTTCGATAATATTTTCTTGATTTGGGGGTATATTTTCATCTGCTACTTGATCTGTAATACAGGGACAAAAAAAAAAAAAAAAATGATATACAGTATATAGAAAAAAATGTAAATACATTTTCTAGGTCTGTCTACCAACATACACCCCCCTATTAGGATCTCTGAAGATTTTTAGAGCCTCTTCTGCCAACCCACAGAACCATTCCCCTTTCATGTACACCTTGAATCAGTAGTAAAATAAAGTCACTAGAAAAGAGGTGGCACAAAACTCCACCTACACCCTTTGCAGAACAATGTCAATAACGCTTGGCCTGCATCGCCCTCCAGCCAGTATCTCAGTACAAACATCTGGGCATGTTTATTTAACAAGTTATTCATTGAGAAAGTACCAAAAAACAAAACAAAAAAAAAAGCCTTTAAGAGTTAACTCTAGGAGCACAGACCAAAGTGAACAAAAAGGTTAAGATCATGTGGGACTGGAAGAGTACTGTGATGTGGCAGGAAAGAATTGTGAGCTTGTATTACAGTCCTACATCTCCTGGTTATCTCACTGGGTAACACTGGTCAGTGTGGCCGACCTTTCCCCCACAGTGCCAAAAGTCCCATAGATTTAGACTCTGCGGATAACACTTCACAGTCACAAAGCACCAAGCTTGGCCAGTAATGTCGCAAGTACCTACGAATGTTCTGGAGCATATTGCTCTGAGCAGAATGCTTATCCTTTAGACCATAGATAGCCGAGGGTATACCCTATCCAGTGGTGTCCTTCTCCAGTACAAAAAGATTCCCCTTATGCTTACACAAAGACTTGCTCCCTTACTCAAAAAAAAAAAAAAAAAAAGAAGAAAAAACCACCACACAACTATAGTGTCCCTCTGCCTCCCCTTATGCATTGGTCCAGATTATTACAGACATACTGGCACAGTATCTGGTTGGTTCATATAACCATAGAAGCTCAGGCTGTTCGGAGAGAAGTCATAAGGTACTATGTTGCTGCTGTAGCCCTGGATGTCTCTGGTGACAGGAAGAAGGGATGGCTGCAGCAGCAGGTTTGGCTCTGGATCCAGAGTCAGTGACTGGACTCCCTGTTCCATTCACATCACATGAAACAGCCGGAGCAGCTGGGTATAAACTGATATCCATCACCGTCTTAACCCTGCTAGCATATCTTCCGATCTGAAACAAATGTCAGTTTTGTACCTGAAAATTGGAAGAACAGAACCAGAGAGGGGTTACTCACCAAACCAAGTGTCGGCCTCATGATCATCATCATCATGAAACGAACCAAAGTTAATGTAGGTTGTTGGAGCGTCGTAGGAGTAGGAATCCTGTGCGCCAGACATGCTGATGTGTGTCACAGTACTATTCCTTTCTTCTGGACTCTGCATACAAAGAGCTTTTTGTTACTTTAAGTGATAGATTAAATATATATATATATATATATATATATATATATATATCACACATTATGTGCATTTAATGTACCGATATTATCTTGTCCAGTAAGGAGAAACCATCTGAGTTGCAAGTGACTTGAGAACTTTGCATCTTTAACCCATTAAGGACACATGACATGTGTGACATGTCACGATTCCCTTTTATTCCTGAAGTTTGGTCCTTAAGGGGTTAAAGGATTAGGGAACCTGCTGAAAAGCTCTATATAAACTTGGAATCCGATCTATAAAACCGGAATTTTTCCTGATACCCTGCTAGATTTAAAGCAGCTCTCACAGATATACCCATAGATAGATTTACCCTTTACACCTCACTACAGGTTCAGAATTCTAATATGCACCCCAACACACACACACAATACTACATGCAGCTCCTCCACCCCCACCCCCCCATATGGTCTGCTGGATAGTAAAGTACTATACAGGATAGAACAGAACACAATGCTGCGTGTTTAAAGGAACACTCCAACACCATAATAATATAAGATGTTAATTGTGCCAGAAGGTCACTGGCACTGGCTTTAACCCAAAACGTCTCCTATCCAGTACAGTTTTCGCTCGGCACACCCCCACCCCTACCCATTTTCTGACAAAATACGTAAATTTTTAAAGTTATTTATGAATGGGGAGCCACTGGTTGGCTTAGAGCGTCAGCTGCCAACTCTAAGCAAATAAGCAGTGCCCTTGCCCGTGGCAGTCTAAGTCTTTCATTTTGAAGACTTTCGGAGAACTCAATGAAATTGTTAAGGTGCCCGTAGGGTCCATTTACCAGAAAAGCAGTCATTCCAAATACCCTCAGTATAAAGGGTTACATGCCTACATATCCCAGGCATCTAATAACGCTCTCCGCCAACATCTGCAGTCAGTAGTCTCACACATAGACCATGTTCTGTTTTTAGGATCAGGATTCAGCGCTATGAATAAGTCTAGGGTCCCAGGCCTGACAGTGATGTGGTACCTCACACCATGTGTGAATTCAAACCGTTTAAAAACAGCTTGACTACTTGTAATGAGGCGGCGGCGGCGTAAGGGCAGCACGCTCTGGTAGTTATAAGGGTTTGGAGCGCTTCTTTATGGGAGAAAATTGAAAAATTATCCAAGACAGTTATGCTTCCAGTAAGGCTTCACAGATCCAGTGCAAGTGAGATTCCATTGTCCCCCCCCACAGCATCAGAGAGCATAATTTCCTCACCCAGTTGTGCCCCCCTATTAACACCTTCCTTCACGGTCAAAGAGCATCACCCCACCCACACACCTTTTCCTCACCCAGTTGTGCCCTCTCCCCACAATTACCACCTCCCCCCAGGACCAGAAGGCTTTTTAAGCTCTTCCAGCGAGTGCCCCCTCACCCACTGAGTGTCTGCTACCCCCACCCATCGGTCAGTGAGAGTCTGGTAACCCCCCCCCCTTCTGATCAGTGAGTGTTTGCCAAGCCCCCTCCCACCGGTAAGTGAGTGCCCCAGTTTCCCCGGTCGGTGGGTGGCCCTCACCCAGTTTCCCGGTCGGTGGGTGTCCCTCGCACCCAGTTCCCGGTCGGTGGGGTGTCCCTCACCCAGTTCCCGGTCAGTGAGTGTCCGTCACCCAGTTTCTCCCCGGTCAGTGAGTGCGTCCCTCACCCAGTTTCCCTGGTCAGTGAGTGTCCACCTCACCCAGTTTCAGGTCAGTGAGTGTCCCTCACCCAGTTCCCAGGTCGGTGGGTGTCCCTCTTGATTTCAGGTCAGTGAGTGTCCCTCACCCAGTTCCCCAGGTCAGTGAGGTGTCCTCACCCAGTTCCCCAGGTCAGTGAGTGTCCCTCACCCGGGTTTCTTTGGGTCAGTGTGTCCCCTCACCCAGTTCCCCAGGTCGGTGAGTGTCCCTCACCCAGTTTCCCGGTCAGTGGGTGTCCCCTCACCCAGTTCCCAGGTCCAGTGGGTGTCCCTCGCTGCCCAGTTTCCCGGTCAGTGAGTGTCCCTCACCCAGTTTCCCAGGTCAGTGGGGTGTCCACCCAGTTTCCCAGGTCCGGTGGGTGTCCCCTCACCCAGTTTCCCAGGTCCGGTGAGTGTCCCCTCACAGTTTCCCCAGGTCAGTGAGTGTCCCTCACCCAGTTTCCCGGTCAGTGAGGTGTCCCTCACCCAGTTCCCCGGTCAGTGAGTGTCCCCTCACCCAGTTTCTCCCAGTCAGTGAGTGTCCGCCCCCCCCGGTCAGTGAGTGTCCGCTCACCCAGTCCCAGCAGACGATGCTTTCTTCAACCTCCCTCACACGTTAATGATTTGAACTGAAATCCTGATCCAAACCAACCAATCACAGGCTTAAACGTCACCGCCCGCTGCCCATTGGCTTTTGAAGATGAGGACGCGTCCGGCAGAGCATTGTGGGATAGATAGTTCTCACCGCCGCCCCTTTCAGAGTTACTGACCAAAAATAAACTACATTTCCCAGCGAAGCTCTGGTCCTTCCCTTGTATTAGCAGAGAGCATCACATTACAGGATATCGCTTTATTTTTATATAGTGAGAAAGTGACACAGACAGGATAATTCATTAAAGTGTGACTTGTGGGCAATTCAAAGGAAATTAAAATAAATGAGGCCAAAATGGCTGACTTGGAAAAATAGTTTGGCTATTTTGGCTTCCAATGTGAAATTCACTAATAATTCACTTTGTATACCTCCCAATTCACTCTTTAGTTTAGTAAATAATGTTTTTTAAGAACATAGACTGTGCTTCAATAAATAATTAGTCTGCTTGCTTGTTTGATTGAATTCGGTTTAATTTCACGTACCGCTAGACAACGCGTTTCAAGTCTCGCCCAACAGAATGCAGCATTCGTAACACATACTGCGAAAAAACCAGCGGGGCCTTGGCAAACCTAACATAAAGAAGTTTATTCACGAAAATGGGAGCTGGGGGAAATTGACAAGGGATTTCTAATATTTAGGAATGGCTGCAGACGCATGAAATGGAATTGCAAACATGCGGTGTAAAAAAAGTTGGAGAATTATATTGAAATGGCTATTTTGACATAAAATAAAATGTATTTTGATTGTAATTCAGTCTTTCCGGTGTTCTAAATGCTAAATTTAAAGTACCATCACTTTGCGCAGCGATCGATTGTATTGTAAAGACGTTTAGCTCAGCCACTGCTATCATTCATTGTAGAAAACACATCAATGCGTACGCTGCTTACAGGTAGACTCTAAACCAAATTTGGTATCCTTATGTGGGATTGCCATATTTAAAGCGAAACTGTAATTGTCTGGGAGCTTTGCAAAATTTGCAAAGACCTTGGACATCGCTTCTGATGGTCCGGAGGTCGGGGGAGGAAGGGGGGGATTAGATTTACTTACCTGAACTTGTCCCTTGCATACGTCACAATTTTCTTCCAACCAGCAAGGAGTTGACATCACTGTCTAGAAGTGTCTAGAAGTATTAGTATTTCATATAGATTTTACTTTTTTTTACAGGTGGAGGAGGGGGGGAGGGGGGTTGGCAGTGCCGCTTTATGAATACCAAATTAGGGAGATATATTATTAAACACACACATTTATACACACACATTATTTTTATTTATTTTTTAAAAGGTCCACCTTGCGTTCGTATCTTTTATTTGGACAGAGAAGGCGTCTGCCATGCAGGTATCAAGGTACCAACTTTGATTTAATCAAACTCTCTAAACAGGTAGAAAATAATTTCTGCAACATAAAGTAGTACATTCAAAGAACTTTAAAATAAATAAAAAAGGCGCTTTATTCTAAACCATGCGTGCAATATTTTACAGTCAATGTTTCCTTACCATCTTGTGTAAAGGCCGGTAGCTGAATTGAACCATTAATTACATGCCATTGCATGCCTGATTAAAATAAATATGTTATTTTGGTTATTTAAATCCTAAAAGTGCACTCTTTGTTGGGTATAATACATGGCAGGAAACATTGGGAGCAAGAAACATTGGGAGCAAGAACCTGTCCCTCGCATTGGGAGACAGGCAGGAATATTTGATTTTCAATTCCTACAATTCTAAGTTTGTTCGCCATTGTCCTGCTTCTGGTCCAACTTCTGCTTCTCCTTGCACCTCCTCACCTGAGGAGGTGCATTATGGCTGGATGGCTATAATTATATCATGGGCATTTTTGGGCTGCAACATTTTAGGGTGAGGTCCTTATGAGACCCATGGGTAGGTTGCTGACCCCTGCTCTGACCACTATACCTGTGCAGCTTAATATAGTGGTTCTGGTGCAAGGAGCCTGCGGTCTCAGCAAGGTAAACACTTACATTTCTGAGTAAAGGCAGTGCCTCCTAGGGACACCTGTAGTGGCTATCACTCTGACAGCCACTAGAGGTGCTTCTTGTCTATCTGTGCAGGAACAATGTTTAGTGTCTTCATGCTCTACAGTAAGACTCCAAACGTTACCCATGGAGATGCATTGATGCAGCGCGGCATTTGCCATGCATGCGCAGTAGCTCCCCAATGGCTCCCAACATGGAAGCTTGGATTGGCTGGGATCATAATCATCACAGATACTAAAACTAGTTGTAAGGTACTTTCATAGCTAAGAATAGGAGCAGGTTGCACTATGTACTTTCACCATTGCACTTATACACATTTGTGATGGTGCTCAGTGCGATCCTTTGATATATACAAGCATATCTCCAGTAAGACTAAGAAAGAACTGAAAAAATATGACTGCATAAATATCAACTCCCATCCCTACAGCCATGAGCTGTGTACCTTAACTCACCCACATTACACGCCAGCTGTTTTACCTAACCAGTCAACGCCTAATATGTGTTTATTCAGATTTGTCTAGTCATAACACGTGTTTAAATTATATTTACAGATGCATACCTGTCAATTTACTTCCCTTGCAAATATGCTGAAATTACTCATGCAGTTTATTCACTGAACTAAAAATTCCTGACCTGCCACCCCAGTTTTGTTTGTCCCCAATTGTCCTGCTTCTGGACAGGTTAATTTTGCCCTTGAGATTTTCTTTAACATAGAAACATAGAATGTGACGGCAGATAAGAACCATTCGGGCCATCTAGTCTGCCCAATTTTCTAAATACTTTCATTAGTCCCTAGCCTCAGGGGCGTACCTAGAGCATTTGGCACCCGGGGCGGATCCTGTGCTTGCACCCCCCACCACCCTCCCAAAAACCTGTAAAAACTGTTAAAGGTTTTATTTCTTTTATTTTTACAATTTGTAAACTTTGCAAAACCGCTGTCAGCCCCTCCTACAAAACTCTTGTCCTGCCCTGCCCCTCCTACAAAACCTCTGTCCTGCCCCTTCTACAAATCCTGTACTGCCCCATCTACAAAACCCCCGCAACCCCCTTCCACAAATCCCCTGCTTATCCCCCCTTATAAAGACTCCTGTCCCAATACAAAACCCCCACCCCCTTCTACAAAATCCCTGCAGCCCCACACACACATTTACAGGCAGACAGTCACACACTCAGTTACAGACACAGTCACACACTTAGTTACAGGCAGACAGTCACACACTTAGTTACAGGCAGACAGTCACACACAGTCATAGGCAGACAGTCACACATACACATTTCCTCCGTGCGGCACCCTAACTACCATGGGACACTGTGCGGCCACAGCTCACACAGCCTCCTCCAGCCAGGGCCGGTACAAGGATTTTTGCCGCCCTAGGCAAAAGTAAAGTTTGCCGCCCCCCATGTGACATCACAATGCCCCAGCCATATGATTTGCCATGTTAACTAACGCCAGTGCTGCAGTGCCGCCGTGTTTACATTAAAAGGCCTGCAGGGACAGGCTATAGACACCAGAACCACTACATTAAGCAGAAGTGGTTCTGGGGGCTATAGTGTTTCTTTAATGTGAGGTAAAATAGAGCTTAGTGCCACGAATAATATACTAGATTGCCTACTTACAACCAGATGAGGATGATGATGGGCTCTAGCTGCAGTCTGGCTCCACTGGTCTGGTGCAGAACAGGCTCTCTGGAGGCGGTTTGTAACTGTGGTCACAAAAATCAATGTTCTGGGAGAACGGGAAGCAGCTCCATTTTTTGGGGGTCCTTTACACAGCTCAAGGTCTGGGTCCCAGGGTCCACCTTCATGTTCCACCAATGAGTTTGTTCACAGGGGGGTGGAGTGTGTAGGGGATGTCCTGATATGTGTGTAAGGAATGCATTGTGTGAAATTGTGTTTGTATGTGTAAGGACTGCAAGGTGTGTTTCTGTGTATGTATGGGATGCATTGAATGTGTGTAAGGGGTGCATTGAGTGTGTGTAATGAATGCATTGTGTGTTTCTGTGTGTGTAAGGGATGCATTGTGTGTAACGGTTGCATTGCTTGTGTATGTGTGTCTGTGTGTTTTTCTGTGTGCAAGGGGTGCATTGTGTGTATGTGATGAATGTCAATCTCTCCTCCCGCTCCAATTTCCTTCTCCTCCTCCCAATTTCTCTTTCTCACCCACCTCCTAATTTCTCTCTCACCCCCGCTCCTATTTTCTCTCACCCCCCTCCTTTCTTTCTCATCCCCCCTTTATTTCTCTTTCTCACCCCCCTTATTTCTCTTTCTCACCCCCCCTTATTTCTCTTTCTCAGCCCCTATTTCTCTTTCTCTACCCCCTTATTTCTCTCTCACCTTATTTCTTTCTCACCCTCTCTCTTTCTCACCCCTTATTTCTCTTTCTCACCCTCTCACCCCCTTATTTCTCTTCCTCACCCCCCCTCCTTCTTTCTCCCCCTCCCCCCTACCTCCCTGGCGTGGCCGAGCCTGTATGGTCCGGGTGCAGGGGGCTTTGTTCCTGTGCCGGCCGGACTAACAGAGTGAACACTCAGTGTGCACTTCCCTGATAGTCAACCAGCTGAAGGCTAACTGTGCCAGCCGGACTATCAATGCCTACAGTGAGGGCATGAGGGCGCTCCCCTCACATCGGCTGGCAGCCTCTCCCTCAGGCCTAGCAGCCCGAGTGGATGCGAGTCCCGCCCTCATGGGCCAGCACCGCCAGACAGAAGCTGCAGCCTTCGGGGCTCTTCACAGAAGCTCAGGCGGCTGCTTTATCTCAGAAGAAACTGATCATCAGCACCCCCCATCCTGGTGGCACCCAGGGGTAGGACCGCCCCAGCCTCCCCTTAGTGCCTTCACTGCCCTAGCCTTATCTTATAGTTGGGATAGCCTTATGCCTATCCCATGCATGCTTAAACTCCTTTACTGTGTTAACCTCTACCACTTCAGCTGGAAGGCTATTCCATGCATCCACTACCCTCTCAGTAAAGTAATACTTCCTGATATTATTTTTTTAAACCTTTGTCCCTCTAATTTAAGACTATGTCCTCTTGTTGTGGTAGTTTTTCTTCTTTTAAATATAGTCTCCTCCTTTACTGTGTTGATTCCCTTTATATATTTAAATGTTTCTATCATATTCCCCCTGTCTCGTCTTTCTTCCAAGCTACACATGTTAAGATCCTTTAACCTTTCCTGGTAAGTTTTATCCCGCAATCCATGAACCAGTTTAGTAGCCCTTCTCTGAACCCTCTCTAAGGTATCAATATCCTTCTGAAGATACGGTCTCAGTACTGTGTACAATACTCCAAGTGAGGTCTCACCAGTGTTCTGTCCAATGGCATGAGCACTTCCCTCTTTCTACTGCTAATACCTCTCCCTATACATCCAAGCATTCTGCTAGCATTCCTGCTGCTCTATTACATTGTCTGCCTACCTTTAAGTCATCAGAAATAATCACCCCTAAATCCCTTTCCTCAATTGTTGAGGTTAGGACTCTATCAAATATCCTGTACTCTGCCCTTGGGTTTTTACGTCCAAGATGCATTATCTTGCACTTATCCACATTAAATGTCAGTTGCCAAAATTCTGACCATTTTTCTAGTTTACCTAAATCATTTGCCATTTGGCTTATCCCTCCTGGAACATCAACCCTGAATTCTTTAACGTTATAGGCAAACATATAAAAATGCCTCCCGGCCGTAAGTGGGATTCATATGTGGCTGGGTGTAAATTAAAGGGTTACTCCACGTACCATGACCACTTTATTGATTTTAAGTGGTTTTGGTACTTGGAATCTGTATGTGTAGCATTTTGCTTTAAAACACTGTACATGCACATATTAACCTCTTAACTACCAGAGGTGTAACTCCACTTTCAGCACCGTCATTAGCCAGCCAGAGTGGCTAATGTGAACTCTGCAAAATTGGCATTTGATACCAGCACGCATGGCATACTGGAGCCAAACAATCAATGGCGGCATAGCCATTCTCTCTCTGTGCTACCCCTGTCCTCCCCTTTCCTATCTGTCGAGTACAAGTGATGTCAGGCAAGGAGGATCAGGCTCCAGGGAGAACTTGGATTCAGCGATGGAACAGATTTTAGCATTAATTTTTTTAAAACAGAATAGATTCATCTATCAAAACCAGTGTTTTATGAAAACATTGTTTCTTGGTTGGAGTAACCCTTTATAGGGGAAGTCTAGGACCAATATACACTACATGCCTGATAAAGGTCACTACACTTGGCTGAAACAATGTCATGGCGCTATTGTTCGTATTAATCTATTTTTTCCTTCAAGCCATATACATGACAGTTCATTATAGTAGTTATGGTGCCAGCAGTGCCCTGGCGCAGTCCCACAGTTAGCAGCCTGTTTACGAACAGTTGTACATTGTACATTGATGAAGGGTACGTGTGCCTGAAATGCTTTCTTTACTTTGATTTTTAACCCTCCATTAAATTGTTTATTTAACACCAGTGCATCTAGCATATCCCAATACATCATGTCTGTTTTTCCTTGTATATTATGACGAGTAAATTACTTACTGTAGAACAGCACCAAGGGGACCTTCGTAGCTTAACACAGTGGGCTAACACTTTATTTTATTCCCATTTGATAAAAAAATAATGCATACTAACAAAACGCATGTCTCAATGGATGCCCGGTCGTGCACTGATGTCAAATGTGCCCTTAAAAAATTAAAATGGCTGCATTGGAAACCGTACCTATGGTACACGTTGGTGCCTTATCAATATATAGCTTTATCTTCTGATTTCTTCATTTGTAACTGGCAAACTATACATTGCGGTCTAATATCACTATATAGCATGCTGTGGTGACTTGAGATCCGACTTACAAAGTTTATGCCAAAAATTGACATTGAAATAAAATTTCCGACTTTAATGAACGGTAGATAAAATTTTTCCAACTTGCCATTTTTTTTTAGTCAGTTTTTACAACCCGCTGTCAAAAACCAAACCTTGGTGAATCTCAGAAAGATGTATAAAAAAACATGGGTTTCTTCACTAAACAGTACATTGTGGAAAGTTAATAATTGAATTGCAAAACGTAGGTTAATGTAGCACAGAGGCCTGGGGGCTTATTTACTAAAAGAGGCCTTGACAAGGGAATTGTCTAGAAACAGCCTAGTCAGATAATTATTTAATTAAACTATTATCCCCAAAAAGTAATGAATCTCTTGTGAATTCCAAGCAAATCTAAGCTTAGTGAATTAACTCCAACATTTTTTATTCAGCACTGTTATTTACTCATATGTGAATGGTTTGTATTCACAGTTATTTCAAAGTGAATTTCAAATTTGTACAGCCTCATTCTGCGCACGCTGCCAGCAGGCATCCGCTGCGTTATATTCTGGCGATTTCTCGAGTATTTAAAATTTGGAAGTGGTTAACGTGACAGACATTGCAGGGTGTGACCTGTATACAGTATCCGTGTCTGTCTGATAAGTGACTCAGCGTAACACACAGCGCTCCACTTATCTCTCTATCCAATGCCTCTTCTTCTCCTGCGTTCATAAATCACTCCGGCAGCAGTATGCAGTGCGCGTTGCTGAATTGATAACAGACTTAAAATTATTGAAACCAAAATAGCCAAACTACAGCGGAAATAAAAACAGCTGTTTTATCTGACTTTCTATTTCAACGTACATTTTGCAAGTCGTTGCTTGTCAGTTTACCATAGTTTAACATGAAGGGTATAGGTATTCAGCAAATGCCAGCTTTACTGAAATAACCGGAGGCTCACATTCACATAAAAATGGCCATTAAAAAAAATAAATAAAAATTATTAAAAATTGCATAAAATTAACACCTCTCCTTTTTTTTCCTGTTAATTATTCCTTAAATCGGGGCCAAACTACTTAAATTAAAATATTCGCATCATGTGCCACGTTTGCGGCTTTCAAAATGGAGGATCACCCTGACACAAGAATTCATGTATTGTATTTGATATTGATATATCTCGTGTGGAAAATGTGTGATACAGGCTCTTCTTGTGATAATATTATATAGTGATGTAGGATTAATGTGTAAAAAAAACCCTCATTAAAAAGTTATTTCTAATTATCTTTATGAATATGATCAAGTGTCTAATTTTGTCTATTTACATATCCTTGCATGTCTCCGGCCTATAACCAGTTGCTACGTGTCACCGGCCTATGACCATTTGCTACGTGTCTTCGGCCTATGACCAGTTGCTAGGTGTCACCGGCCTATGACCAGTTGCTAGGTGTCACCGGCCTATGACCAGTTGCTACGTGTCTCCAGCCTATGACCAGTTGCTACGTGTCACCGGTCTATGACCAGTTGCTACGTGTCTCCAGCCTATGACCAGTTGCTATGTGTCAACAGCCTGCGACCAGTTGCTAAATGTCTCCGGCCTACGACCAGTTGCTACTTGTCACCGGCCTATGACCAGTTGCTACGTGTCTCCGGCCTATGACCAGTTGCTACTTGTCACCGGCCTATGACCAGTTGCTAAGTGTCTCTGGCCTATGACCAGTTGCTATGTGTCACTGGCCTATGACCAGTTACTATGTGTCACTGGCCTATGACCAGTTACTATGTGTCTCCGGCCTATGACCAGTTGCTACGTGTCTCCGGCCTATGACCAGTTACTACGTGTCTCCGGCCTATGACCAGTTGCTACTTGTCACCGGCCTATGACCAGCTGCTACTTATGATTAAGCACTTTGTATAAGATCACACCAGAGATAATTTATTAATATAATATAAGAGGCAGATGTTTAATATGTATGACTTATAGGGTGAGTAATGTATAACATTAGAGTGTGATGATTAAAAGAGATATAAAGTCAGATTAGAATGATTTTATATCCCCATGTAGGTCATACAGTTATGACCGTTATGCAGACAGCCGCACAGCACGCCGGGACTTGTAGTTCTCTGAAGGAAGGGGGAGGGGGGAGCCTGTCTGCTGCCAAGGGAACGCACGTCCGACCAATCGCGTGTCAATCAGGAAGAGGCGTGGCAGGAGGTGTTCTGGAAAGGGGGGCGTTAGGGAGAGGTTCCCGGAAAGGGGGCGTCAGATAGTGACATTCACAGCCTGGGGTGCCTGGTGTGTGAGTATTGGGGACCAATGGGGGGGCTGGGGGGACCAGTGGAGGGCTGGGGGGGTCATACAGGGTGTGGGTGGCATTCCTTATACAGGGAGTGAGAGCTGAGTGCATGGAGGGTGTGGGGGGGACTCTCCCTGTGTGTAATATAGATATTAATAATAATTATAATAATCTTAGATTAAATACAATGTCTATTATCCCTCTATACATTCTATTCCTACAAGAAAGACACAATATGGGGATAATTCCTTATACAGGGAGTGAGAGCTGAGTGCATGGAGGGTGTGGGGGGGACTCTCCCTGTGTGTAATATAGATATTAATAATAATAATAATATTCTTAGATTAAATACAATGTCTATTATCCCTCTATACATTCTATTCCTACAGGAAAGACACAATATGGGGATAATTATTTATACAGGGAGTGAGAGCTGAGTGTGTGGGGGGACTCTCCCTGTGTGTAATATAGATATTATTATTAATAATAATAATAATAATAATCTTAGATTAAATACAATGTCTATTATCCCTCTATACATTCTATTCCTACAAGAAAGACACAATATGGGGATAATTCCTTATACAGGGAGTGAGAGCTTAGTGCATGGAGGGCTCTCCCTGTGTAATATAGATATTATTATTATTAATAATAATAATAATAATAATCTTAGATTAAATACAATGTCTATTATCCCTCTATACATTCTATTCCTACAGGAAAGACACAATATGGGGATAATTATTTATACAGGGAGTGAGAGCTGAGTGTGTGGGGGGACTCTCCCTGTGTGTAATATAGATATTAATAATAATAATAATATTCTTAGATTAAATACAATGTCTATTATCCCTCCATACATTCTATTCCTACAGGAAAGACACAATATGGGGATAATTATTTTAATTATTTACTAAAATATTAGTGTAAACCCTCCAGGTTAATTTACTCCAATATATATTGGAGATATATAGAATTAGCTGTATGTGTCCAGTAGACAAGATACCACAATAAGCAGAGTATTACTGTATGCAATGATATCTTTTTATTGGACTGGCATAATATTTTAAAGACAAGCTTTTGGAGTTTTACTCCCTTCCTCGTGTAGGTATGCGTGTATATAGAATATGTTTATATATTTATGCTGCATCTAACACTGGCATCAAAACTATGGTTTAGTTCTTAACATTAGAGTAATGATGGTTTGGAAGGGAGGGGTGATTAAAGCGGTATTGTCACCCCTCTTCTCCCCCCAAAAAAAGAGTTATTTCATAGAAAGAGAATCTTTATGAATAACTCATGCTGACTGTGTAAAATTTTACTGAAATTCAAACCCAGTCGAGAGATATACTGAGACAAAGTAGGGGCGACTGCAGGTAATTGGTTCTGTCTATAGAGGGTCTCGCAGGATCCTCTATAGATCTCAATGCTGTACTCACTTGTGCATGCACGAGGGTACAGCAGTGACATTGGCTCCTGGCGCTGATGAGGACCCGCCTGAGGAAGATGGCCACACCCCCAGGGGACAGGTTCAGGTAAATAGAAGGCACCCTTACTTGTCCCTCGGCCACCAGACCCCAAGCAGTCATGTCAATGTTAGGGGGTCTTTGTAAATTCTGCAAAAATGTCCCCAGACTGTTATAGTGCCGCTTTAAAATAAATTAGAATGTTTGTTTTTTATGCTGCTAAGATTTTCTTTTTGGATTGCAAAGTCTCGTGATGGCCTGTAGTTTAGATTAAAGTGACAGTGTCTTTTCAGTTTTTCATAATGATAAAAAAAAAAAAGAGATCATGAGATGGCATAGTAATTACTTTGTCATGTATAATAGTCACATTTTTGTAACATGTAGCAATGGGCTGTTTCCCATCAGCCACTACTTACAACAGAACAGGCAGTTTATGACACCATGTGCAATTGATACTTACGGTGTTTTATTGCTCAAACACAGGATCTGCTGAGCCTCGTGTAATATCCTATACACTGTGTACTGTCTCATGCATGCGCAAGAATATACCATTCAGATCTCTGAAATGTAATGGATTGAAATATCAGTGGCAAAGTTTAGTATTAAATTTCCAATATATAACTGTAGCTGAATTGGAGAATCATTTCTCATCAGCTTTTTACCCTAACGATCTCCATATACATTTTCATTTGCTGAAATTCAAAATTTGGTAAATAAGCATTTGTTGAAGAAACAGATTAAGAGGAACGTGGCGGTGGTTCCCTTGGGAAATGGCTTGAAAAATGTAGTCCAAACAGTACTGATAATTATTGCAGACACAGTTATTTCTGGGTAGATATTTAAATTTGAATCTCCTGGAGTATTGAATGAACCACTTTGACATAGTCTATAAATATGTTAAATTATTAAGGTTTATTAAACTTTCATTGTATAGTTAAAGGGGTGAAGCCACCATTCACTTGCATGAGAAAATAGTGCAAAAAAAAATAATCAGTGATTCAGCCATGGAACCAAAATTGCGTACATGGATACAGTCATACAATTGTTCTTGTGTTTAAATCTTGACTGTATGTTTTTTACAGTTAACACGTGCCTGCATGCAACAAGTCTTTATAAAACACTGGGTGGAACTCTGTTAACGTGTGATTATTTGGAGCTGAGACGCTAAGTAACATTCTACTTTCCAGTAATTAGAGAGTAGATCTTCTTCTAATATGGAATGCAGTAGTAAAATAATTGGTCTCAGCTAGCTGATTCATAAAGAGTGACGCTCCCTGTAAGCTTGCTAGTTAGTTTGTTGTTTTTTTAACTGGATGTCATTCTCTTTTCAGATCATCTGAGCTTTCAGTTTGCGTGGCAGTGCTGCTCCGGGGGAAAAACCGTGGATTATCGTGTTTTAACCTAGTGGCTTGATTTGGACATCTGCCATCATTTCTCACGACTGGTCGGATCATTATAATCCCTATGTTGCTCTGGCATAGTGGTGGCACACCGTATTTTAATATGGTTGTCTCTCAGCTCTGAGAATGGAGGGAAGTAGTAAAAAGATTGTACAGAACTTTGTATGTCAAAAACTGTCCCAAAGAGGATTCCAGTGGAACTGTTGTAGTGACTTACGATCTGAACTTATATCTAATGGGACATCTCCTGGAGAAGTGGCCGAAGCCCACCCTGCAGGCCATTCTCAAAGTGTAGTAGGAGAAGGTGTGCTACAAGCACTGTTGGAGGCAACAGTGGAATTTGAGCTGAGATACCAACGTGCTTTTAAAGACCTGACCGCCCAATTGCACATCACCCCTGAGACGGCTTATCAGAGTTTCGAGCAGGTGGTGGGAGAGCTATTTAGAGATAACATAAACTGGGGGCGCATTGTGGCATTCTTCTCATTTGGAGGGTCCCTGTGTGTTGAATGTGCTGACAAGGAAATGGATGAGTTGCTGCCCAGGGTTGTGCAGTGGATGACAACTTATCTGGACAATCAGCTGGATACCTGGATCCGAGCAAACGGAGGCTGGGTAAGGGTACTTTCTGGGGGACTGACGACTTGACAGATCAGTTGTGTGATCTCATTTTGGTCTAGTGGCAAAGTAGGTCAGGGGATGAGTGCTGATGGCACGCTAGCTTAAATAAAAACAGGATGATGGGTGATGTCATGCAGGAGGGAGACATGTAGCTGGCATGCATGTCTGGGAGAGTGAATCCACATACTTATAGGTACCAGACAGCATTCACTGGAAATAGCAGTTACACAGGGCCGGTAGATAGTCTATGCTGTGCAGGTACCTTAATACTGGCCATTGGTGATTGGTAGTATTAGCACTAAGGGGTTATTCACGATAGGTAAATGGCAACAATTCATACTCCAGCTAAGCTATATTTCAAAAATTGACTATTTTGGCTTCACGTTTGCAGTTGTCCTCAATTCCAGATTTAGTAAGTAAACAAAATGAATGCTCTGTTTGTGAGTAGGAGGCATGCGCTGGTAATGAGTTCTCTCTGATGAAGGCAGTTGATGGAGATAAGGCAGGCAGTTGCTAGTGGCAGTGGGTTGTGAATAGGCAGGGATAGAGAGGATATGTGACAGAGTGGTAGAGCTGTGAAAAAGATAGCTGGTGGCACACACAGAGGATAGGCAGATGGTGGTGGGTATAGCGCAGCGCAAAGTCCAAGGAGTTGGTGGAAAGGAGGAGGCAGCATGCAGAATACATGAGAAGGAGGTACTGGTGTGAGGACACTGGGTAATAAGTGATGTAGGTGTACATTGTAGACGGGCAGTTGGTGAACACACACAGTCGGGAAGCTGATGCACATAGACTTGTTTGCTGTAAGACCAGTGTTGCCTGGCTCCTATTGCTGGGTGCAGAGATGCCGCTGCGATTAGTCACTTTGCTATGTGAAGAATTTCCCTGTGACCTAATGTTCTCTCACCGCTCCTTGGTGTGACAGTCTGACATGCTCGTCTGCAGATTATACAATTTCTCCTGTGTTCTATTCCATACAGTACAAAGGTTTCTTTTGTTAATGTATCACCGAACAGTTCCAGCTCGCTGGGTGTTACATGGCAGCCAGATTCACTATTATATTCTACGGATCAGCAACGCGTAGCTTCCTAACTTGTTGATCTTTAACCCTTGTCATACAAGCAAAGCATTATGGGAGTCGTAGTTAAGTTACAGTTCCGATCAATGCAGCTTAGTAGTTTCTAATATAGTTTTTTGGTTCAGTTACTGTTATGGAATGTCTTTCCTAGCTTTTAGTCCTATTACAAGCAAGCCTCATGCCATTCTTGTGTTGTTTGCTCCTGCGTTACCATGTATCTCTCTCTGACTTCCCCACAGGATGATTTTGTGCGTCTTTACGGCAATGATGCTGCTGCCAACAGCAGGAAGAGTCAGGAACGCTTTGGGCGATGGCTGATTACCGGATTCATGCTGACTGGTGTTATCCTGTTAGCTTCCTATTTGATCCGCAGATAGGCCCCCCCCACTCACTGGATGTGGAGGAACAGGAAAGTGCACGGCCAAGAGGTCCTGGATCCCACGTGACGGGGACCGTTGCAAGCTTGCCTACCCCACAGCATCAAACCGTAGTCCTGGCACGCTTGTGGGGGTGAACAAGATACCCTGTCTCGTGAATCAGTAATGGGCATGTGCAGGAGCTTTAGTGAGTTTTAAAATATTGTTAGACATGTTCAATTTAGGCCTTTTATCTGTTTTACTGGCTGAAGGGTTACTTTTTATGTGAATAAATAGCTTTTTCTGTTACAGCTTCTCACTCTGTGGTCTTGTGTTTAGTGGGTGATAGAAAACAGATTGCAAGCTTTTGTGTTTGTGGAGTCACTCATTGACTTTTGGAGATCTCCAATATTCATTGTACTTTGCCAAGTTTAAGACCGTCAGAGCATTGTGGTAGTTGTAGTCCTGTAACTGCTTAATACCTGTTTTGGTCACCCCTTCTCTAGTGTTTAGAAATGTCCCCGTTAGGAAGTGATTGGGATCACCTTTTCGACCAATGGTTAAAGCGCTGCGGACACAATTGTCGATTTCCTTCATTCAGGCCGTTGTGGCTGTAAAGCTGTTGCCTTTCATTCTGATAGATGATTCACTGAGCTGTCAGAATTATACAGCCGTGTAAATATGGGAGAGCAATGTAATCTGCTTCTACGGCTTGGTAGTAAAACAGTTACAGGTATATAAAGATTATCCTCCTTGATGGGTTTTAGTTTTGCAAGCAATTAAAACATATTCCATATGTGTTCCTCTTAAAGGACAATGGTCTCTTTTTTTATTAAATAAATATATCGTTTATTTTAAGGAAACACTAATGTAAATATATTAATATTTTATGTTTGTGTTCCAATTATTGTTTAAACTACTGGAGCCCCAAGCCCTAGCCACATCTCCCCGGCTGTGAATCACACAGCCTACATGGGAAAAAAATAATAATCACTTTTAATGAGATCTTAACTGGCTTTAGAAGTTTTTATCTCCTGCTCTGTTAATTGAACTTTAATCACACACAGAAGGCTGCTGCAGGGACAAGGAGTTATTAACAGAAAAGGAGACAAGACATTTTAGAATAAACAGATTGTGCAATGCAGAGCTTAAGTTATTTTGCCTATAGTGTCCCTTTTAATTAAAAAACAAATGTACATATTATTGCAGCACTTGGTCGATCTCCATCTCCCGTGAAGTCATCAGTTATGACTTTCTTCCTGTTCAGTGCTTCTCATAGACGTCATGCTCCACCTATAGGATGCTTCTCCTAGATTTAATACTGAATACAATGAGAAACACTAACCGCATTCGGATTGATCGTGCTGTGTATAAGGATGTTAATCATGAAGATCTTTGATTTCAAAAGGTCTACGTGAGGAAGCTCCTCTAGCGGCTGCCAGTTGGACAATCAATAAAGGCAGGTTCTCTGGCAAATGTAAACAGTGTTGTTTCTTTGAAACCTGCAGTGTTTTACATTGCCAGGAATAGGAATCGGGTCCCAGCAAATAAAGTAGTTTTGGTGTTGATATTCTGACTTTACAATCTGAAACCTTTTCGTTAATCTCCTAGCTTACATTACACTGCGAGGTGGCCATTCTTCCAACTCTTTGGTCAGAAGCCCCACTTCTATTCAAAGACCATGTACAATTTAAATAAAACTATCTAAAGTGCCTTTTTGAGATGCCTTGAGCTTGCACTCGTCATTAGGAATTGTGATTAAACACTAAATCTCGCCCTAAAACCAAAGAAAGCTTAAAGATGGACATCTTTAAGAGGAAGGTTAAAGCGGCGCTGTCACCTTCTGGGACTTTGCAGAATTCGCAAAGACCCCCAAGTGTGACACTGCTGTAAAGGTAAGTTCTACTTACCAAAACCTGTCACTTGCCGGCACCACCGTCTTCCTCTGCCCTGTCCTATACAGCAGCGCCAGGAGCAGATGTCACTGCTGTTCTCTCGCGCATTAACGTCAGTATATGGAGGATCCCGCGAGACACTCAAATGAAAAAAAAAGTATATTTGGGGAAGGGGAGGGGAGGAATAGATGACTGTTTTAAGCCAGTTATTTACTTACGGTACCATGACAAAATACACAGTTTATAATACATGTAAACTTGTTTTTATTAAAAAAAAAACACTTTAAAAATGGGAGTGGTAGTAAATCAGGCAATTACAGATCGGCAAACCTCGCCTTTTGAAGTCATTGCTGAATGAAACAAGAGGTTTAGAAGATTAACAGCATGGGTTTGGTGTAGGATAGTCAGAATTTTAGCATTTCTTTTTTTTTGTCTGCAGGGCAGTGGCCGATACTTATCGAAGTTTCAGTTGCGAAACGCAATGCAGGATTGTAGAATTGATAAACTGTAAATGGTTATCTTTTATGAAGATATGTTAGTCCTCTTTAGACTATGTATTTTACGGACTCCCAGACCAAACAGAAGGGGACCATATGTTTATGAATCTGCATCACCGTAGGCACCATAATGGTTTTATTTCAATGAAGTGGTTATAGTTTCTTGAGCTCTCTGGCAGTCTTTCCGTTTAGTATTAAACCATTTAATGCATAAATGATGAAAACTCCCCAGTATCCCATCACCTTTATGCTACTTGGGCTAATGAGGAAGCATTACACTGAACAGCAATGCACAGCTGTGATGCGGTCAGTTCCATTGCAGGTATGACTAGGAGGAAGTGTTTAATTTGCCTTAGCCACACCTTCAGTAGGGGCCGGCTTGTGGACAGCCAAGGAGCATCATTCAGTGTTAAACAGCTCAAAGAATGGTTTAACGTTAAATGGAGATACAGCACCAGGCACTATAACCAATTCAATCAGATGAAATCGTGCCTACAGTGTCTCTTTAATACTGCATTAGATAAATTTCCTAAACACAGAATGGAGGCTAACTGAAATCTGAATTGCAAAATTAGCCAAATTGAAGAGGGATTTTTGTTGTTTTTTTATTCCAAATCTGCCTACATTTTGAAATTCAGATTTAGATTCCATAAAATATTGGGTTTGGTAAATAAACCGTAGTAAGTTACTGTGATTGTAGGAAGCTAGATAAGCAGTAGGAATAAAGGGAGATTCTGCTACTTTCTGGAAAGTTTTGAAAAAAACCTTATCTAGAGTAAGGAGCCCAGTTCTACAGCCGTTACAAAGGCAGGTACATTAGTTACGGTACTGCTTGAATTGGAATTTTATGGAAACTCCAGAGTAATGGGTTTATTAATACATACCCAAGAGGGACAGTGACGCGTTCAAGATCAGAAGAAATGAAATGGGTAAAACATAAGGTTTTAAAAAATAATTAAATTACAGAAGAGTGAGGGTTTCCCCATATAGAGGGCAACAGGAGGGGTGGGGGGAAACAGGATTTGAAGTCTTGCAGTATTGATACAGCTGTGAATGCATAGAATGGCTTCCCAGCAGAAGTGGTACAAACTCATACAGTAGATGAGTTCAGATAAGGCTAGACCATACATACTATAGTCAGGAGCATTTAACAGTATCAAGTAATCAGACATAGGCCAATGGATTTTCTATCAAAATCAATCGTTGGGAGTTAAATCCAGATTGCATGACTCAGACTAAAAGTAGCCAAATTGTGACTAGACTTTTACACAGTCAGTTTCAGCTGTGTCGGATGAATCAAACCACCTCCGTCGTTGGGAGCTGGGAGTAGTGGCATACCAGTCTTCCTCAGCTCAAAAAAAAAAAAAAATTAAAACCAAAACATCATGAGACCAGCCATAGTCTTAAACTCCAGTTTATTAAACCACTTTATACACAAACCATGGCATGGACGGGTTCACGAAGGGTGACATTGTAGAAGCCAGTATACTGGTGGCTAGAGAGAATGTATATATGGCTGATGGGAACAGGCAAACATGCGCAGTGCGTTTTAGTGGATGTACAGTGATCTTGATAATTGTATCAGTGTGAGTGTGTGAAGGAGTAGCAAGGCCCATGGTTCTATAGCTACTGCTACTCCCATAATCCTTAGCAGGGGATCACATGGATGTAGCACAAGGTCTTAGTACCTTAACTTTTTTTTTTTTTTTTCCCTTTGGGAGATAGAACGCCACTTCAATGATATTAGTTTACCCAACAAACCTCCCTCTACCCGACTGGCTTCCCCCTCCCCCAATTTCCCTCCTCTGAATAGGAAACCCAGCCTATTTTTTCCACTCATTCTTCTCGTAGTCCCACTTTGAGGAGAAGCCTTGGATTGGCCCAATATGCATGTCCAGCATCCTTTGCATCTGCATTGCCTTCCATTCGTCGTCCAAGGTGTGTGGCTTTGCAGGGTACACTGCAGAAGAGACAGTAAGAATTCACATTTATTTTTTTATAGACTAAAAATAGTTAGCCACAATACCTCCCGGTAACCACACTCACCGTACACACTCTGCCACCACACGACAAATCCGGTTATACCAAACAAAATAAAAATTCCCCCAAACACAGTCTTCCACTCGTTGGAAGGTTTGTTCATCTCTGCGTAGCTTTGGTCAAACTTGATGCGGTAAACTGTCAGACAGAAAGTCCATGAGCGTGTAAGGAGAGAGATTTTCGAGATAAGGTCAGTTAAAATAAAGAGGTAAATGCTACAGTAACAGGAGTTGTGTTAATTACGTGCAATTTTATCTTCTTGGCTCAGTTGCTTCCAGGCTCCTCTCTCTTTTTCCTTTAGCGCTGTCTGATGGGAGCTCAGTTCCTTACGAAAGGGTATGTCTGGCAAAGGGAACGCCCGGTGATCATAGTAAAGGGGCTCGGAGCCATCTGGGTGGTGAGACACTGACAAACAAGAAAGCAGATAAGTTAGAATTTTAGCAACAAGCTTATCAGAGATTTAAAGAGACCATCAGGTACCTTGAGATGTGGTGTCCAAAGTGGACCTCCTGAGCAACTGTTCAATTGAGAATTTCTTCAGATTGGGGATATTTGCACCATCTAGACCAGGCATAGGCAACCTTTGGCACTCCAGATGTTTTGAACTACACCTTCCATGATGCTTGCCAGCATCATGGGGGTGCCAAAGGTTGCCCATCCCTGATCCAGACCATTACAGAGTTATAAAAATTGGTACTGCTCAGTTAAAGGGAAACTCACCTCCCAGGATTTTCATTAGGTTGATTTATACCCTATATTAAAAGGAATGTGCTCTGCAGTGGTTATGGTGCCACAAGTCCCCTTGTTTCTCTGCCATTGAAAAAAAATAAAATAAATAAATGCTCAAAATCAGCTGACTCATCCAATGAGAAATATTGTAACTTTCTAAGACTTGGCATGATAATGCGGGAGTACGAGTTTTAGCTTTACCCTACCAGCTCTGTCCAGAAGCAGAGCAGCTATGTGACAGGCATCAAACAATTTAACTTCAGGCTGTGCTGGAGGAAACTGGCACAATAACCACTACAGCACACTGTAGTGGTTATGGTACTTAGAGTATTTCTTTTACAAGAGGTGTGTGTGAGGCGTGAAAAATGAAAGTGTATAAATCCACGTTGCTGTATTTAGCCTTTACCCAACAAAGTGCTCCCATCTCCCTCATGTAATACTTGTGTGCCCTGGTTTTGCCAGGACTGAACTGCATTGGGAATTCTACATTTAGAAGGAAAATAAAATAAAGTTATAGGTGCTTTTCAAGGTTATAGCCAATGGCATAATTTCCATAGAAGTGATAGTTCCCCTTTAAAATCCCCAACAACACTTTGTTCTTCAGAAGAGAGGGAAAAAAATAAAAAAATAAAAAACCCTTTCTGAGGCTGCTAGGATAAAACATGCTAGAGTGGCTGAGGTTCAATATAGGAGTACTGCGTGCTGTAGATTGGAATAAGAGGGAGGACGAATCATATTTCAATATCCTCCAAGCCATGTAAAAATATTACCCTGAAGCTTAAAGGGACACTATAGTCACCTGAACAACTTTAGCTTAATGAAGCAGTTTTGGTGTATGGAACATGCCCCTGCAGCCTCACTGCTCAATCCTCTGCCATTTAGGAGTTAAATCCCTTTGTTTAAGAACCCTAGTCACACCTCCCTGCATGTGACTTGCACAGCCTTCCATAAACACTTCCTGTAAAGAGAGCCCTATTTAGGCTTTCTTTATTGCAAGTTCTGTTTTATTAAGATTTTCTTATCCCCTGCTATGCTAATAGCTTGCTAGACCCTGCAAGAGCCTCCTGTATGTGATTAAAGTTCAATTTAGAGATTGAGATACAATTATTTAAGGTAAATTACATCTGTCTGAAAGTGAAACCAGTTTTTTTTTTCATGCAGGCTCTGTCAATCATAGCCAGGGGAGGTGTGGCTAGGGCTGCATAAACAGAAACAAAGTGATTTAACTCCTAAATGACAGTGAATTGAGCAGTGAGACTGCAGGGGAATGATCTATACACTAAAACTGCTTTATTTAGCTAAAGTAATTTAGGTGACTATCGTGTTACTTTAAAAAAAAAATAAAAAAATATATATAATACTGTAAAAATGAACCATGAAGAGTATTACCCCAGGGCTCGACAAATCCTAGGTGCCAGGTCGCCATGGCAACCAGGAAATTTGTCTTGGCGCCTGAGATTTGTGAGCCTGTTCAGCCCCTGAGGTGACTGGCTGCCTGAGAGCAGAGAAAGGATGAGGCAGGCTGCTGACTGAGGTGGTCGGCCTGCTCATTGAGAGGTAAGGCGGCTCATGTATTGCTGAGGGAGGGAGGGGGGGCGACCGGCTCATGGAGAGCTGACAGAAGGAGGTGGGCGGCCGGCTCATTTATTGCTGAGGGAGGGGGGCGGCCAGCCCATGGAGAGCTGAGGGAGCTGTAATCTCCCTGCTCTGCTCCCCCGCGCGGCTTGCAGTGATGCCGGGTTAGGTCGTCACTCCGGCCCGCGGCTCACTTAACAGTGCGCGAGAGGGAGCAGAGTAGGGAGATGACAGCAGCCCCACTGGACCCAAAGGCAAGCCTATCCCCTCCAGCAGTAAGGAGGCTGGGTGGATTAAAAAAAAAAAAAAAATATAATCGGCATATATATAATTAATTACTTGTGGGTGTGTCTTCCCTCCAGTCACATGAGGTTTTTACTTACCTTTTTCCCCACGCCGTGCTGAGGACGCTTCGGCTGGCCCTACCTCCATGGCTGAGATTATCAATCTTCATATAGGAAAGCATTTGAAGACTATTGCGCATGCACAGCAAAATGCCACTGTGCCAATTTAACTTCTCATAGAGGTGCATTGAATCAATGCATCTCTATAGGGAATATTAACGTAGGTGCTCCACATTGTGAAGACCACAATGAGGTTTTACCGGCAGCAATGGAAACTGCCTTTTGTCTGAAAAGTCAGTGTTTACATTGAAAAGCGTTCAGGGACAGGATGTAGCCTTCAGAACAGCTACATTAAGCTGTAGTGGTTCTGGTGACTAGAGGGTCTCTTTGTATTTTTGGCGTTGATGTCTCTGGCTCCTAACGTTTCTAGCTGGCTCCTAGATTTTAAGCAAATTTGTCAAGCCCTGTATTATCCCATCCAGTTTAAAAGGACATTACTTTTAGTAATACGGGGGACTCTCAGATAATTTGCCCATATCTTAAGATTGAAGAATTGTTTGAGTCCATTAAGATCATTTGGCTGCTTGCGCATATCTTATAGCTCTAACCCTGGACAGTAGAATAGTTGCAAGGTTTGGTTTTGTGTAGATGTAGAATATATATATTAAATAACTTTTTGGGATGGAAGTTTGCCATATGAAAAAGGGGGGCATTGCTAAAATGTTTAATGATTTTCTTGATGGGGGTAGTGGGTACCTGCAGTATTTTGATATGAGCTTCTGTACATCATTTAACAAAGCATTCACCTTACGCGGTGGGCCATTACATGTTTACATAGGCTGTTTGATGGCTGGCTTTTTATCCAGTTTGACTAGTCTGGCCTTCACATTAGTGAGTACCCCTGTTAGAGTCAGGAGGGTAGCTTACCATGCCCCTCGTGTCCGTGAGCAGCTCGGACACCAGCGATACCCAGGAGCTTAACCCTGCTCAACAGAGAGGAACGCATGACACGAAGAGACATCATCTAGAAGGAAACACAGGGTGCATAAATGGTTAATCAGGACTAATTTGTGCATACGCTTTATACAGCGCTACCCTCATTGTTGGTGCCCCTACTAATGCAGTCTAAAACCAAGGCTGGCTCTGAATGGAAACAAACATTTGCTGTCAGTAATTGGCTAAAATAAAGGTTTAGCAGTTGGGATATTTACGGTGCTTTCCAGACCATAACCGCTCAAATAGGGAGTTTTAACAGTTAAGAATCTGCTGCCCATCTATGAACACACCAACCGAGATTGGTAGATCAGGTACTCCATTCTTTACACACAGTGATAGAGGGAATTACAGGCTGTCACAATACTTGGCGGTTGTATACGAGATGGATCAGTTTTCATAACGCAAGTAAAAATCTGATCTTTTCTGCTTTAACCCTTTAGAGTTCGTGCAGACGGTAGTATTTTTCCTCCAGCTGTAATACACCAATGAGTCGCCATTCTTTTCTAATGTTATCAAAGTTAGCACAAATGTCAACTCGTGCAAACATATAGATAGATCTCACAGGGCTAAATTCGGTCATATGAGGTAAACATGTGTCTGGTAACTGGAGTAGCATAGATTGCCATTCAGGTACCAGAGGTAGGTTCATCTCTCATAAAATATTCTAGCCCTCAAGGGGAACATTTAGCAAATCTGCATTTAATAAAGTTATATTTTCCTGTAATTCATAACTTTCATTCTCCAGCATTCAATTAGAAGCTTAGTCCACAAGTACATCCATATATAGAACTGGTAGTTTTTAGGGTGGGCACAAGTGATCATGGGCTTGGTAAAATAGCCACTGGTGTGCAAACACAGCACTGCAGATAGGGACCAATGTGAAACAGCTAAGGGTCTTAAATTTCTCTTTTGCAAGCCTCACCACCGTCCAGAGAGCGGCACTGTCAGGTCCTCTAACAAAACTTTACTCCACCCCCAGCACCTTTGCCAAATCTGTCAGGTTCCCTTGCCCGCTATGACCTTTGTACATGAGAAAAAGGACAGCGTGTCCCTATGAAGGAAAGTTAGTGAGTTTAAAGAAAATAGTTTTTTACCCCCCCCCGCAAAAAAAGTTCTAAGTGAAAAGATACTTGGCTCCTTTTCACATTTTCTCTTACTGCCAATATAAACACTCCTCTTCTAAGGGGGCATTAAACAGAATTTGGGTAAGTGGTCTCGGTGGTCATACATGAGGGGAGTTGTGATTTTGGGACGTGTCCCTCACCAACAGAAGATTTATGCAGAGAGCGAAAGAGTCAGAGACAAAGAATAGGTTGTTTCTCCATGTAATGCCACCAGTCTAACCGGACCCAGCATTTGGACAGAATTATCACCCCGTACCAGCTCAAACACGGTGCACACAGAGTCCCTGGGGTCGCTGAACCAGAGTACTCACGGTCAGAGAGCTCCGAACTGTGCAAGCTGTAAAATGGAGACAGTCAGAGGGAGCTGGGAGCACAGCCAAGAATACACTGAAAATTTGCCAAGAGCATGGCATTATGGGATACAAAAAAGGGGACGCCTTAATCTCCCCAAATCCCTATTTACCTTCCTTGGGAATCGGAGAGAGGGAGAGAACTGTGCAAAGATTTAACTCTTTCCCCCCTTTTCTTTGCAGCCTTTGTTCTCCTTTCACTAGACAGATTTTTTTCCCCCCCTTTTCATTCAGTTCTATAGTTTGGGAATAAAGAGGCCCAGGGATCAAATGCAGCAGATTCTCCAAGATTCTAAGATTGCACCATCACAGTACACATCCATTGTTACCCCCTCTCACCCAGTATATGTATAGAGTGCGCTGCCCACTCACAGGTCCCCAGGGTAAAGCGTAGACCGGAAATGCACCCAGTTTATAATTACGGTGGGCACAACTGCTCTGCAATCTGTGCTTGTTTAGCTGTCTAGCACTCGGCCCTTTCACAGTGTATATTCTTATTTATATAGTGACAGCAAATTCCGTACCGCTTTACAATGGGTCGTATAGATGGACCGCTGTGTGCCCTGTAGGTTAATGGCTCAATCTCACTGCCTCCCTTAGCGGACACATTTGTTAAATTTTTTTCCCTCACCTTGCGGCCTAAATCCACCAGCCCTATTTGATCGGTTAGCCACTTATGAGACACACACACAGTCTGTAATGAATGCTGCCGCCAGACTGATTTTCCTCTATAGTCGCTCCTCTCACATTTCACCCCTCTGCTAGTCCTTACATTGGCTCCCTGTATCCTATAGGAGTCAATTCAAAGTGCTAACCCATACCTATAAAGCACTGAACAATTCTATCCCCACTTAAATCTCCTCACAGATCCATAGGTATGCCCCTTCTAGGTCTCTCCGCTCTGCCCGTGACCTTCTCTTGTCCGCTGCTCGCACCCGTACGGCCAACCCGCGCGCGGCTCCCTTCCTATGGAATAGCCTGCCTACCCCCATCATACTCTCCCATAGTCTTCAATCATTTAAGGAGTGCCTTAAAACCCATCTCTTTAGGAAAGCTTATGGCCTCCCAACTAACCTCTACCTCACATACCTGTCTCTTGCTCTCTCCTAAAGGGCAGCACTCTACTCTGTCCTCCAGCTCTGCATCACTCCCACCTTATTTGATTACTATCCCCTGGTCTATTGTATTTTACACCCCACCTCCTATAGACTGGAAGCTGGTTTGAGCAGGGTCCTCTTCAACCTATCGTTCCTGTAAGTTTTCTTGTAATTGTCCTATTTATAGCTAAATCCCCTCTTATAATATTGTAAAGCGCTACAAATCGGTTGGAGCTATATAAATGGCTATAATAAGCCAATCTTCCTCTCCTCACTATAAGATATGCCTATCCCAACCCTCCCCATCCAATCTATTAGCCTCCTCAGGAAGAACTCTGCCTCCTTGCCTTACTCATACCCCCAACATTCCAAAAGGGGTAGAGGAACACTTTAAATAGAGTGTGGCCAGGGCTGTTCTGATATCTTTTAGGGGATTTAATAATTTATAGAACTAAAATGTAATTTAAAGACAAGAACAATGTATCTTATTTACATAGAATTATTTTTAAACATTGATTGTAGTTTAAAGACACATTACTGAGAGTATTATTGCCGTGGAGCTCTGTTATACACTCAGACACATTACTGGGAGTATTATTGTTGTGGAGCTCTGTTATACACAGACACATTACTGGGAGTATTATTGCTGTGGGGCTCTGTTATACACTCAGACATTACTGGGAGTTTTATTGTTGTGGAGCTCTGTTATATACTCAGACACATTACTGGGAGTATAATTGCACATGGGAGGTATGCATGCTACAGGCCATTGCCACTTATTCTCTAGTCGTTCTTCATAAACTGTTACCCACATTAATTCTGTGGGTTCTCTATACGAACCATGTCAGACCCTCCAAGCCTGCAAACTCCTATCACTATAACATGGGAAGATTTTAATAAGATGTTATATAAAGAACCCCTTGATTCAGAACGTATGGATAGCTCAATCAGGGAGGGGGACTTGGTAAATAAATCACTCACCTTAGAGTAGATTCTCCTGGCTGGAACACTACACGGTAGCTTTTCCCAGCTACATATACAGGATTAAGCTAGCTAATTACTCAGGTGATCAGGGATGAGCTCCTTCATGGTATTTATAGAGAGAATAGGAAATTGTGTCCTGGAATCTTTAAACCCCCATAAAAGGCCCGTACAACGTACTAAATGGGGAGAGTGATCGTATGCTGCGCTGGGGCACTAAGAGAATGGCCACGTCCATCAGGATTATCTAGACTCTGGACATATATCACTAAAACGTAATCTGTTGGGAGCTACATGAAAAGTTTTACCCTTAATGTTTGTGTGCTGCAGCAGTGAAATCACCCAACTAACTAGGCTGCTCCTTGTGGCTTCCTCACTACTTAATGGATTGATGTGCTTCCTACAGAGTATGAATTCTACATACTCTGATTGTTTATACACCAAGTCTAGGGTGTGAAAAACCAGGGAGGTCTGTTCATTAACCTGTACCATGTGATCCAGGATACTACATATATTGATGGACAGGATGTTAAAAAAAAAAAGTGCTGGCCCGCAGTATGCAGAATTCAAATCCTGCAGTGTGCAGCATATGAATTCTACATATCACATGGCAGCTCTTCTATTTAAATTTCTGCCGATCAGTGTAGGTAAGTCATAATGCGTCGTGGAAAACATCTAGGTACTCCGACCGTCATAATCAATACAGCCCTGGTAATGCAAACAGTTTTGTAATGGATTGCCCTCTTCCTGGGTCACATTTTTTTTAATTTTTTTTTTAAAGGATGGATGCCAATCCTGCAACTTACTGATTGGCTGATATTGTCAGCTGACCACACTCTGCCAATGAACGAGTGTCTATGCATCGGAATTTGCACAGAGTTGACATTAGCTGGCTACCAACTTTTGTTCTGGGCTGGCTAATGATGCCTCAATGATCATGACAGAGATGGAGTTACACCGTCAGCTACAGAGGAGTTAATTTCTGTATATGCAGTGTTTCAAAGCGAAACGCTGCACATACAGACTCTAGGCACCATAACCACTTCACATAACTGAGGTGGTCATGGTGCCTGGAGTAGCCCTTTAAGAATTTGTTCACGTAACTGAGAATTGTGGAGAATTTACCAGGGATTGCACATTTCAGTAGGTAGGTGATTTGGAAAAGATCAATTAGTTTATCTGTTTTAATTATTTTCCAGGTCGTCTAGTTTGGCCATAATTTTTTAATTCCCCGTTTAGTTCTAAACAACTCCTGGCTTGGTAAATAAACCCCAGTGAGCCAGTTACTAACTCCCCGTGTAGAGGATAAGTGCCTGCTAGTTTGCAGCGTCCAGGATTTTTCTCAAGTTATGTGACCCGACTTCCTCTCTAGCGTGGGACTTTTCTGAAAAGTACATCTCCCAGGCCAGCAGCATACATGTTCATTAACCTACCTTAAAGCCTCACAAGGTTATTTACTAACGTGAGTATTGTCAGGAATTCAAATCCACATTTTACGCCAGAATAGTTGAATCAGACTTTGGCCTAGATTTTAAAATTCGCTTTTTATTCCTGACAATTCAGACTTCGCCCAAACACTTTGCAATACTCAAACTATTATTTATACCATATTTTAAACTTGGTTAGTAAGTTTGGGTTAGCTAACCTAGAGCGCTTTTCACCGTATACCGGGTTATTTGTCAGGAATTCGGACCGTTATTTCGTTTATTCACTATAGTGAGAATTGTGGGGAATTCAAAATGACTTTCAAACTTAAAGGGACATTATTGGCACCTAGAGCACCTCATCCCGTTAGCTCACAGGCTATCTAGCTAATCACTTTGTATAAAAGAGCTTTAATGGCTAGATCTCAGCCAATGGGCAGGGCCTTCTCTACCTTTTGTATTTGTCTGTGTATATTGTACGTTCACTAATTGTACAGCCCTGTGGAATTTGTTGGCGCTTTATAAATACCAGTAACAAATAAATAAGTGGTCTGGGTGCAGTGTCCCTGTCCCCTTAAAGGGAAACTACAGTGCCAGGAAAAAGTTAAAAACCCTTTAGTGACCTACCTGTATCCAGCGCCGATGTATCTCAGCGCTGGGTCAGGCTCCGCCCATGCTCTTCCCCTGCCGGCGGGGGAGACCTAATGCACATGCATGGCAATGGCCGTGCTCGCATTATGATTTCCCTATTGGAAAGCATTATTCAATGCTTTCCTACGGTGATTCCGGTGACACTGGAAGTCCTAATGCATAGCGTGAGAATGCCCAGTGTCGTTTAAGCGACCAAAAGTCGTCTAAGCACCCGTAAGACCCTCTACTGGCTGTTTGGTAGACAGCCACTAGAGGAGAAGTTGACCCTAGCAGGTGATTATTGCAGTTTATACAGACTGCAATAATTACCACTCTAGGGTTAAGGTTAATGAGCTGAAGTGGTCTGGGTGCCTACAGTGTCCCTTTAACCGTGCAGTTGCAAACAGGGCAGTTTTAGAGAAAGTGCATTGTGTACATTATAGGGTTAATACTGCCCCTAGTGGCTGGCTGTCATTTCCTCGATTCACACGGAGTTTTGCAAAGCATGAAGACATCCAGCGTCTTGAAAATCCCCATAGGCAAGCACTGGTTCTATGCTTTCCCCTGTGATTCGTCACACACACATTAGGTTCCTCCATTGCTATGATGTTGCTGGGGGTGGAGACGGGCCAGCAACGAGGGACATCGGCACTGGAATCAGATAAGTGAAAGTAAGGGTTTTTAACCCTTTCATGGTGGGGGGTGGGGAGTGGAGGCAGAGATACACTATATAGTATTAGGAATACAAAACTGGATTGCTAACACTCGTGTTCCTTTAAAGGGACTCTCCGTTTTCCTGGCACTGCAGGACCCTGCAGTGCCCCTTTCCCTCCCATCCCCAATCCCATGTTGCTAAAGGTTAAAAAACTTAACTCAATCCAGCGCCGATGTCCCTCGGCGCTGGGTCAGGCTCTGCCCACACTGATGTCGGTGGGGGGAGACCTAATGCGCATGCGCTGCAATGGACACGCGCGCACACATTAGACCTGCCCATAGGAAAGCATTATTCAATGCTTTCCTATCGGGATTTCGGCGACGCTGGAGGTCCTCATGCATAGCGCGAGGACATCCAGCAGCGTTTAAAACACTTTTCGTCTGATAGAAAGCCACTAGAGGAGGACTTAACCCTGCAAGGTAAAGGTGACTTAACCCTGCAAGGTGAAAATGGCAATAATTACAGTTGCAGGGTTAAGGGTGGTGGGAGTTGGCACCAGGACCACTTCAATGGGCAGAAGTGGTCTGGGTGCCTGTAGTGTCCCTTTAAGCCCAGTGAGAACTGTCAGGAATTGAAAGAAAATTTAAGGCCAAAATAGCTGAATTGGAAGAATTCTTCAGATCAATTCCATTTACCCATTGGCTATTTCACCCTTAAATTTGAAATTCACCCCAAATTCCCTAGTATTCTCAGTTTAATGAATAACTCTGGAAAATAGAAGTGATAAAATAGCCAAGAAGTGATTATATAGTAAATATACAATGACTCTGCAGATGTCTGTGAACTACACTACCCACGATGCATTATGGCTGTTGTTCAGAAGCACAGTTAGCATAGTGATATTTAGCCTAATATCGCCTTCTAGTAGTGACTACATTGTTATAGTGAGTTGCTCATCAATTTGCAGAATTTTTCCAGATCGGCTATTTTTGTCTACATTTTGCATATCCAAATAAATTCGCTAGAAGTCATAATTTAGTAAATAACCCAGAATGTATTTAAAGGGTCATGCCGATACCTGACAGTAAACGCATACCAGTTCTCTCCAGCAGATGGCGACACAGCCTACATTTTAACTACACAATTCATGACTACACTTTTTTTTTTCTTTTTATAATGTAATTTATAGGCCTGGGTGCACAATCGTAATTATTAGATTTTAAAGTCCAAAGACCTCAGAGTGGTTTAAAATTAACATATAAAGGATTTGTGCCCCACAACCTGCCTCGTCAATCGCTATATTTTTTTAAACATTTTTCTAGTAATATAATATTGTAAAGCGCTGCAGAATAATATAAATACCAATAATAATATTAATATAATAATCCAGCCCTTAATTGGTGTTAAATCCAGGCAGGAATCTTTGCTTTTTGTTGATTTCTCTTGGCTTTCCTAATTGTACTTCTCTCTATGGACCCCCATCCCCTAAAATCCTTCCTTAGTCCTTTCATAACATCCATGTTCTCCCCTGGGTCTCATTTTACTTCCCGAACTGGTTTATTTATTAAAGTGAGAATTATCCAGAGTCCAAAGTGAATTTCAAATGGAAGGCCAAAATAACAGCATTGGAAAAGTTCTCTAAAATCAGCAATTTTTTCAGATTGACTATTTTGGTCTGAAATTCGAAATTCACTTTGAGTTCACAATTCTCACTGTGGTTAATAACCCAGCCAATGTCCGTTTCTGTTTGGATCTCCTCTTTGTGGACGGACCTCTTAGTGTGGGCCACCCCCCTAAGGTTCCGTTCGGAGTCTCCTTCTGTATCATGTTATATTACTTGTCATAGGAATTTCATAATTTCAAGAGCCGCACGCGCATTCAACCAGTCCATAGGAAAGCATTCTCAATCACAGTGAGAAGCGCCATGGGCGTCCGCAGGGGGGGGCAAGGGGGGGCACTTGCCCCCCCCTAGATTTTTCAGCTTGTTCTGCTATTTTTCATGTGATTGAAAATGAACTGCAATACCGGTCTATAGAGAGTGACAGGGATAGGAAGCTGCATCTTATCCCTGCTTCTCTCTGCTGATTGAAACCGCAGGGGAACAACACATGCAGCCAGAGACAGCCTACAGATCAGGTAAGTGAGGGATGGGGGGAGGGTTTGAGAGGTGGGGCAGCAGCCTATAGATTTGGGTGGGGGCAGCGGCCAGGCTTGGCCCATAGATTTGGGAGCAGCAGCCCATAGATTTGGGGGCAGCAGCCCATAGATTTAGGAAGGGAGGCAGCAGCCTGTAGATTTGGGGCAGCAGCCC